CGCTCCGACCACCAGGCTTCTCGGTCCTTACGCAAGCTTTGCCCAATTTCCCTACGTAACATCCTTCGTTTATGGTCAAACTCACGGTCACCCGGAGTCGACCGACGGGCTTCAATAAGTTGTAAGGAACCAGAAGAAACCCAGTGCTTATAAGCGGGACGTTTCGCAAACCCACAACTGACTGTTCCCGCCATTTTCATGGCGTCATGCAATTGCAACCAATACTCATCTATACTTTTCGGTGGAGTGGTAGCTAGCCTAGAAGCTAGCTCGGTTCGATACTTATTTGCAACAGAGGTTGCAACCAGCTTGCTAATATCAATCCTTTGGTGGTGGTCACTTCGTTGTCCACTGAAAAGTAAGGCAAGATTGGCGCAGACCAAGGCATGGTCAGAGTCCAGATAGGTACTCCAAAAGGAGCGGCAGTCTTTTACACAACCACGCCAGCGGAAGCTGATCGCGATGTGATCAATCTGAGTCCAGGCTTGGGATGCAGAGGGAGGACGCCAGGTGGCACATCGGCGATGACTGTGCCGAAAGTTAGTGCTAGCCAGAAACAGGTTGTGGTCTGTGCACAGTTGCAGTAGACGGTCCCCGTTATCTGACCTGCGACCAACGAGTCCCCATCGGCCACCTAAACGACTCTCTTCTGTGCCTAGACGCCCGACCTGCGCATTCAAGTCTCCGGCTAGTACTACAATATCTGTCGAGCGCACTTTCTGGAGAAGAACAGACAGCTGGTGGTAAAACTCATCCTTGATTGCATCCGGGCTGCAATCTGTCGGGGCATAGGCGGAGATGACGAAAAGACATCGTTTCTCACGCCGATTTCTTCTCACTTTGATGGAACTTTCTAATCTAACAGCACATAACCGACTGTTAATGGGGATCCAATCGACTAGTGCTGCCTCAGCTCTAGCGCTTAGTGCGACACCAACGCCAGCAAGACCAGACGAAGATGCCACAGGGTCCCCGGATAAGCGCACGTGAAACAAGCTTTTCGAAGCGACAGATGGAGATCGAATTTGTAGTACTTCGTCAGAGTCTTGAATACGGGTCTCGGATAGACAACAAACATCAATATTGAGACTTTCCAAAGACATAGCCAGCCCTATCTGTTGTCCGACCTGCATTAGTGTGCGAACGTTGAAGGCAGCCAGTTTGAATGGTGCACGTGGTTTCAGAAAAACTGCTTCAGTTCTCGTATTCGGTGGTAACATACAATTTTCAACCGAACAGTGACTCGAGAACGTTTAGATACAGTCGAATTTCCACCAAAGACGAGCCGCTGTATAAGTATAAAAGAGGGTGAATAATGTGGAAAATAATAATAATAATATTAATAATAACAATAATGACAATAATGGTAATAATAATAATGGTATTAATAATGACAATAACAGTAATAATTATTTGAATCAATTGAATGTTGATCGGAGAGAGGAAATTAGTTGCCGTAGTCATAGAGTTCATTGTTTGTGTGTGGGCTGTGATACTGCCCGGGTGCCCAAACCGAAGCAGGTGGTTTTCTTAGGGGGCCACACCCCGAGCCTTTGACCTAATGGTCTAACCCACAAGGCAGTGGAACATCGTGAGGAGATGCAATCCCATGGTAGCCGGTGACCAACGATTGGTTCATACGCCATTTGTTCCCGCAGGATACTGGAGCCCATGTGCACCATTGGTTTGTGATCCGGTTAAAGCGCCGGACGTTCGCTTTTCGTCCTCATTTTCGTAAACAACACCCCCGCCACGAGAAGGCAATGAGTAGGACTTCCCTGGCAGAGGCTGTATACGCGCGGCCGTGTGAGAGTATTTCGAGAGGGAGAGCGGACTCTCCCCACTCTCGGCCGTACCAGGGCGTTCGGGGAAATAACATTCTCGTCGACTGAATTCTCGGGCATTGATCTCCTACCAGGAGGCCCACTTATCGACTTAAAATACGTAGATGATATAGTCCTGTTTGGTGAAGACGCTGACAAAATGCAGAGTGTTTTGGTAGCAATAAGCAACAATGCCAGAATGTTTGGAATGCGCTTCTCTCCCTCTAAATGCAAGTTGTTGCTTCAGGACTGGTCTGCGTCAACACCCGAACTAAGGATAGAGAGAGAAGTAGTCGAACGCGTTGACAACATCACTTGTCTTGGAAGTTTGATCAGCCCTAATGGGTTGGTGCCTGACAAAATCTCAGCACGGATTCGAAAAGCTCGTTTGCATTTTGACAACTTACGTCACCTTTGGCGAAGGCGAAATATCCGTCTATCAATAAAAGGACGAGTATACTGCGCGGCAGTCCGTTCTGTTTTAATTTACGGCATCGAAACATGGTCATTAACAGTAGAAGACACTCGTAATCTACTAGTATTTGACCACAGATGCCTTAGAAATATTGCTGGTGTCTGCTGGGATCACCGGGTAAGTAATAGTAGGGTTAGACGCAGAGTATTAGGGAATGATGGCAAGTCAGTTGATGAGGTTGTGAAACATCATCGACTGAGATGGTTGGGCCACGTGTTACGTATGCTTGAACACCGATTACCGCGACGTGCAATGCTAACCGGTGTTGGAGATGGTTGGAAGAAAGTAAGGGGCGGCCAAACCAAAACGTGGCATCAGTGCTTGAAGTCACTCACTTCTAGTCTGAGCCATGTTGGTAGATGCAGACTACGCGGTTGGGGTCCGCGTGACTTTCGTAACCAATGGTTGGAGACTCTTGGTGACATGGCTCAGAATCGATCACAATGGCGTAGGTGTATACACTCTCTGTCTTCCCTTAAACTAAGAGATTAAAATCGCTTCATATCTTTCTTTCTTCCTATACTATATCCTTATTGCAATCTTTCTCCTATATATTACCACCTTTGACCTAACCACTCCTATGAATCCGGTGTTCATCTTGCTGTGCTAATGAGGTATGGCAACCTGGACCGATGCACATATGTGCCTGGTCCTACGTTGTAGCTGACTGACTGACTGAAGGAGGATTCGATGCAGACGTAAAGGCGAGGATCAACAAATCAAGGACAGCATTCCTACAGTTGAAGAACATATGGAACTCGAAAAAACAATCTGTCAACCTACATCAAAGTCACAATCTTTAATATGAACGTCAAGACAGTTCCACTATACGGAGCTAAAACTTTGAGAATCATCACAACCATAATCAAAAACGTATAAGTATTTATAAACAATTGTGTATACAAGATACTCAATGTCCGTTGACTGGATACCATCAGCAACAGCCAACTATGGAAAAGAACAAACCAGCTTCCAGTCGAAGAAGAAATTAGGAAAAGAAGTGAGAAGTGAATAGGACATAAATTTGAAAATCATCAAACTGCATCACGATGCAAGTGCTAATTTGGAATACTGAAGGGGAAAGGAAAAGAGCAAGATCAAGTAACACACTCAGTCGGGAATTGGAAGCAGACCTCAAAAAAGTGAATAGCAACTAGGATTGCTCAGGACAGTGTTGGATGGAGAATGGCACGGGTATGTTGCTCAATTTCATGGACTAGTTGACCTAGATTTTGAGCGTCCGCGCGCGAGATCGATAGGTCCTGGGTTCGAATTTCACGAGTTTGGATCGTGGATGCGCACTATTGAGGAGTCCTACAGTAGGACGAAATGGCTGTCCAGTGCTTCCAGGTTTTCCATGGTGGTCTAAATTCAATCGACTCATGATCTCGACTATTGAACTTAATTTTTAGCCGAATCCTAGTCCCCCTAAGGAATTTTCTACGCTTTAGCCTCAAACAGAAGACAAAAGGCAGGAAATATGAAAACAAAATTTGCTTTCAGGGTTAATTTAGGCACAGAATGTATGGCTCCAGAATTATAGAAGCTTCCAGAAATATGGATATATTAGTAGGGAAACCACTAACTGTTGAATCAAGATATGAAACACAACATGTCGTCTTCCTAAAACTCTGAAGTTTCTAATCAGCACTGGTTAGACGAAGTATTTTTACTCTTCTCCTAGTTCCTGAAGAGTCCTCTGAAGAATCCTTAAGAGCTCGCAACAAATAAATCAAACAGTTGGATGCTTAAACTAAATACAACTAACCAATCCTTTCTGATTTTTAATGATTTCCAAACTGATGTAATCCATGAAATAAATTACTTTCATTATGAACTGAATTTCAATGACCCTTCAAAAAAAACGATTCATTAGAATTCTTATTATATAGACTACCAAATATTAACTTATAAGAAACTGTAAATATGATAGGGGTAAGAATTAAGTCTCAATTTCATAAACACAAACGAATAATCTACAGAACTTTTATTTCTGCACCCCTTTCCCGACCGCCGATTGTTTAATGATACCAATGACTGCTCATTATTTATAATCTCATGTGTTCACTACTTTGTATGGCAGTATATCATTTTACTAAACTAAACAAAAACCTATTGAATTAGCTAGCTTTCTTTTGATGACAATTCATTTAATGAGAGGGTTGGGTTGAGTTACGTCAATAATTTGATCTCATAAACAGTTGTTTGTTGTCAGTATGACTACCACTGATATTTTCCAGCATTATCTACTAATTATTAAACACTGGTATTCAATAGATTATCATTTTAACAAACTTAAAATGTAATCACAATGGAAAATGCTTCTTTCTCCTACGCATCAAGTTACTGATGATAATTTAAAATAGTGAGATAAAAACTATCTGATTAAAATGATTCCGACTCGGTAGTCCAGAGGTTAAGTGTTCGCGCAAGACCGGAGGTCGTGGGTTCGATCCCCGAGTTCGGAGTTACGGATGCGCACTGCTGAGGCGTACCACAATAGGACGAGACGGCCATCCAGTGCTTCCAAGATTTGAGTAGTGATCAAAAATTGGTCGGTTTGTGATTTTAATAAAATGAGATAGTTATTTAGTCGGACTCTATCGTTTTTGAGTAGTTTTCTAAACAGGACAATGATTTCCTAAAAAAACAAAGAATTTAAAAACTAGATTTAATTCATCTTAATCATTAATATCAAATACCTGCAAGCATACTAACAACAGATAATAAAATTTTTTCGACTGATTGGACTGGACTCCAACGTTCAACGGAACTTTCATAACCCATTGGATCATCACCAGGAGCATGAAGTATGGAAATGCACACGCGTCCATCTGGATAGACTACATAGTAAGAGAGGAGAGTGAAAAGGAAATTCTCACATACAGTACACAAAACATACTAAGAATGGAGTTGTTAACCAATACTTAATTTACGTTCATTTTCTTTGTTTGTTGTATGATAATGAGATGCTGATAACGAGGGATGAACACAATTGGATTTCAGACCAGATATGAAATATTGTCATTTGATAAATCTTCTTAATGACGTAACTGTTATATCCGGGGGTTTGGTTATAATATGATCATATGATTACTGTTCAGTCATTCCTAAACGACGTAGAACTTGACATATATATATATATATATATATATATATATATATATATATATATATATTCGTTTATGTTGATGCACTTTATCACCATAGCCAAATAAATTGGCAAGACAAATGTCAGCGTAGTGGAAGTAATAACAGTATCAGTATGGGTGGAAAACACTAGGTATAATCAATATGATTCGAAAAGCAAGAATGAATCTGTGATATAAAAAGTACAAAGTTGTTTTGAGAGGGAAGATAAATAGTGAGCACATTTGTGTCATAATAAAAAATTCTGAGACATATCACTCAATAAATCCAATTATTGATTACTATAGTCGCAAGTATCCTAGCCAATTAGTCTACACCTGCATACATGGTTCAGATCGACAGTCAACAACTGAGTGGATTGATGAAATATCTTGGTTTGATTACTTGTTTCATTTTAACCTCTCACACCAGTGGTAAATATCACGCGTCGAAATAGGCGGTTGTTGAGCATACATAACATGTATCTCAACCACGATTACTGTTCAGAGGAAGAAATTCTTGATTCCAACCCGTTCCAAAATAGGTTAATATCAAAAGACTAGAATAACTGGCCAGTAAATAAGGCTATTTCTTTCAAATAAACTGTTACACTTTACAGGAAATATTAATACAAATGAACATCATTATATTTGGGCGATTCCAAGAGTATAATAATATACGACAGGGATTTTAGAATAAAATGAAGACTACTATCTTCTCTAATTTTTGTTCTTCAGATCCATTATAATAAAACTGAAATTAAACACACTATATTCAAAATGTCATTGAGTTGAGCGTGTTTTCATCACTGATTATAGATGATTATGTCATTACAGATGGCTGAGGTCATCTGCAACATTTTGCCCCCAAATGCCCTGGTATGGCCGAGAGTGAGGAGAGTCCGCTCCCCCTCTCCAAATGCTCTCACACGGCCACGCGTATACAGCCTCTGCCAGGGAAGTCCTACTCACTGCCTTCTCGTGGCGGGGGTGTTGTTTACGAAAATAAGAGGACGAAAAGTGAATCCTCGGCGCTTTAACCGGATCTCAAACCAATGGTGCACATGGGCTCCAGTATCCTGCGGGAACAAATGGCGTATGAACCAATTGTTGGTCACCGGCTACCATGGGACTGCATCTCCTCACGATGCTCCACTGCCTTGTGGGTCAGACCTTTAGGTCGAAGGCTCGGGGTGTGGCCCTCTAAGAAAACTACCTGCTTCGGTCTGGGCACCCGGGCAGTATCACAGCCCACACACACACAAATATGGTGTGGCGCATATATATTTGGTGCCCTCTTGTACCAATATTTATGTGTTCAAATAAATAAATAAATAATAAAATAAATCTGCAACATTTCCGACGTTCAGTATAAGTGTGTTGCACCCATCATCCTCGGTAACTTATCCGTTCGTTTAGTAGATGGGTCATAAGTATCAGAGAGCAATTTACACCAATGATATGCTTTTAAGCGTTCATATTTATCCGTAACTCTCTGCTATGAATGTCAGCCAATCGCGAAGTGACATTCCTGATGAAAAAACATAAGTAGCATAAAAGAGTGAGTATAATTTATGGACGAATCAATTAGATATAAGGTAACGGGTATTAGACATTGGCGTGAAATTCATTCACCCATTCGGCTGAATAGCATTTTGGCATTTTAGCTTATGTCAGTCCGTGATGAAAACCCTAAATCAAATTCTTAAATATAACCATCAACTGTAAATCACAATTACGATTCCTCACATTGGTTTGTAACCCTGATCTAGTCCTAGTTTTATTATTTTATTTATTTATTTAAACACATAAACATTGGTACAAGGAGGCACCAAATACATATGCGCCACACATCTCATTTGACATGTCTGAGGGCTGTGATACTGCCCGGGTGCCCAAACCGAAGCAGGTAGTTTTCTTAGAGGGCCACACCCCGAGCCTTCGACCTGAAAGTCTGATCCACAAGGCAGTGGAGCATCTTGAGAAGATGCAGTCCCATGGTAGCCGGTGACCAACAATTGGTTCATACGCCATTTGTTCCCGCAGGATACTGGAGCCCATGTGCACCATTGGTTTGAGATCCGGTTAAAGCGCCGAGGATTCACTTTTCGTCCTCTTATTTTCGTAAACAACACCCCCGCCACGAGAAGGCAGTGAGTAGGACTTCCCTGGCAGAGGCTGTATACGCGTGGCCGTGTGAGAGCATTTAGAGAGGGGGAGCGGACTCTCCTCACTCTCGGCCATACCAGGGCATTTGGGGGCTAGTTCTAGTTAGGTGGACATTCTCAAGGTCACCTTATTGTCACCCAAAGGTCGTCCATAAATTATAGTTTCGCCAAGATAATGCGTCAAATGAAAGCGGTAATGAAAAAGTATACTCTAATGTGTAGCAATTACATTTTAAATGAATAGTAAAAGGTTGCAAAATAGCTGGGTACAACAACCTTATTGAACATTGAAAGTGCTGTAGATAGCCTCAGCCCTACAAACGACTCCGCAGCAACTTAAACGATGTAATTTTATTTAAAACATGATAGTGACTAGTTGTGAGATGTAGGATGTGTTTCTTTCTATTCAGCACCCGTCAGCTGGATAGGCTTGCAATTCAAGGTTGACATTTACACTGAGACTAAATGTTTATGTTCGGCCATATTTAGGCTAATAAAAGTGATAAGCTGATGTTCAGAAAGGAACTAGATGTGGCAAATCGATATTTATCCACATGAATCCAAACAGGGATGTCCCTAATGTCATAATTGAGTCCCAGTGGAAATTGCTTCCTAGCAGAAAGCGTGATAACCGGAGTTCACTAGTTTATTTCCATAGTACGGCAGATGTATTACTTGGAACGTTCTTGTTTGGATTCATCTGAATAGATATCAATCCATCACTTACACCTGTGTTCTAAATATGGGTGTCAACAATGGGGAAAGATCAGTAGTTAATAGTTAATGATAACTTGAGCGATTATATGACTTTTTTTACACACTGTCGGATAGACAGTAAAATCAAACGAAAAATGATCAAGTATCGGTATGTATATATATCAACTGTTGCACAATTGTGGTTAACAAGAAATACCTTTCCACGCTGTCGGGATAAGAAAATACTAACCACTCACACGTCACTAACAGGGCTTGATTAGACCTTGCTTACAATCACATACCTTCGTCCATTCTTTTTCTCTGGTTTCATTTTTATTCCCACACTACTTAAGTTAAAGATTCGAGTTCACAACTATCGGATTATCTGGGTATATGGGATTCGACAATAATTTTGTCACACGCCCGCATTGTCAAGTAGAGAACCTTTATTAGGGAACAATGGAGACCAACTGTTTCGTTTCAATATGAAACTCGTTAGCAAGATTTATATACATACTGCGAGGGTTCATCATGGGATGGATAGAGGACTTCAAGAGATTCTATAACATAGCTTGGAAAAATGTATGGCGTAGTAAGACAACCCGTCCAATTTCAATGATGGAAAATTGTTGAAACTTAACAGTTAAACTTCACTGGACATAAATTCACATTTGCACTTTTAGAATCCATCTCAAAATTAGACGCTAGTGATTACGTTATTACTATTATTAATAACACAAAAGAAGTAGTCTTTCTAATATGCCATTACGCCACCTCAACCTGAAATCCACTGGTCAAATTTTCTCAACCTAGACATATGATAAAAACTAGTTTCAGCATTATTATTATCCTAAGTATCTATTTCTCTGATTGAAACCAGGAGGTTGGTTTTATCGAGATTTAAACTTCGTGGTGACTTATGTGACTTTCAGCTTTCCTGAACATTATGAATTTTTTCTCAGACGGGTTGGAGGAAAGTCAATGATAGCACGATTACCAGCTAGTAATGATGGAAAAACATTTTTGTGGTGCTGTTTTCCATGAGTTATATAGCTTAACTGCAAGGATTTCATTGTAATTCTGAACGATATCATTACAGCTTACTACTTGTGAAACTTGGCTCAGTCACTGCACAAAAATGGAACGACACAAGGTATCATTGCTATCAATGCATACAGAGAACCATGGGCGCGAATTCAATTAGGAAAACATCAAACTTCTAGGTCCAGGAAATTCTAAAGGTCTCATAGAGTTTCGAAACCCGTGAGATTCGAATTAATCGGCAATCAAGAGATACATCATCATAGACTAAATCTACCAATCCATAGGGAAAAGATCAATCGACCACATAGTCAAAGGTTGACTGAACAAAGAAATCATCAGGAGCACAAAAACAAATGAAGACAACGAGAATTACAAAGACCATCAACCACAAACAAAGCCATAAGAACGAACTTGTTTGAAGCTTATGGAATAGTTGTGAAGCTTAATTCGGCATGACGTAAGTGCTGATAACGTTGTTTAGAACGACGATGTGATCCCAAGTTATCTTGCTCAAGGAATGCAACACTACCAAAACCGGTTAAATTATCTTCTTTACATGTAAACATAAAGTAAATAAAAACTGAATATACTCACTATTTGGATGGAACACTTCAGTTAGAAATTGCATTTTTGGTGGAGACAAAGGGTAATCTGATGGGAAGTTCAAACGTACAGCGAAAACACCACCTTCAAATGGAGTACCCTCTGGTCCACTATAATATATCACAGACGGAATAGAATGAAAAACTATAAAAAACTAGGAAGTTCAATAAGTAATAAGTAACTTTTAAAATTAAAACTGTCAAAAATATACATATGTACTTCTAAATACGATTCATAAGTGAACAATTAATGAATTTAAATTTTATAATTCAGTTAACATTATAATAACAACAATGAGTCATATTTTAACCGATTAATTACAGATTTACGTACTCAGCTTAATTTTAAACTGTTGATGACACTATTTTTAGCTTCCCTACCCAAAGTACTTGGATCAAGGTTTGGACTTATGACCTATTAGTGGAAGATCAAGTAACTTAGTCACTAAGCCATCAACTTCGTATTTAATAAGAAAAAGAGAATTCAGCGAAGAAAATCTTCTTTTCGACGAAATAATTTACTTAAGTTGTACATTCGTATATATTTATATGGAAAATATATGTCTATAAGAGGATAGAAAAGATTGCATCACAAAAATGGATTCCTCCTATAGACATATATTTTCCATATAACTATATATACGAATGTACAACTTAAGTAAACGATTTCGTCGAAAAGAAAATTTTCTCCGCTGAATTCTATTTTTCTTATTGAATGACATTATGGGTTATTTTAATCAACTTCATATTTACCTATTTGGATACTAACGATAAAGCTAGGAAGTAACAGAACCTGGAGATGAACTAAAAATAAAATAATGATAGACGTCTTGTTTCACTGATTCTGGTGTTTTCAGAGGTATATTTCGAAAAATACAACTAGACAGGTACTGAGGTGTTGCACTGAGCAATTAATAGTTGGACAAATAAAAAACAATAATGTAAATTATTCATACACTCAGCTTTGAATCACATTCTTTGTGTAGCCAGACTAGTAATACTATCCAGATGTATTAATCGAAGTAAATGGGTTAGGATTCGAATAATTGACCCAATATTTGTAGGTTGAATACTTTTATCAATAAGTTGTCACTCCTATTATTAAACTGAGATAGTAAATGTTAGTTTCCCTGGGTTGAGTCCGTTAGCATGCATCGCTTCTCGCCTTCAACTGTGAGACGCCCTTTTGATTATATTTTTTATTAAGAATACATCTAAGGATAAATTGATACAGAGAAAGTAGAGCATTACTTCCGACCCAATATATTATGGTAATGATTGATTTTTATGGTTTTCAGTCGGTATTTATAAGTTCATGAATAATTTAACTTAGAATTGACGTCTCGTTTCTCATTGTATTCTAGTCTCCAAAAATTGTATTTTTAGTTTTGTTCAGTGGGAATTACAGATGAGAACTTTAAATGGAGTAAATTGGCACTTGCAATCGTACTAATGAAATATTAAACTATTTATAAGACACGGTATTTCTTAGTATTACACAGAAGGAAAATGGCTACAAAAAAACGAAATGAAAACATCGTTACAAAATCAGAACTACTGATGTGTATTCTACTAAACAACAGATTTGATGGCTGAGAAATCACTAACATTGTCCTGAACGTTAGTCAGAGCTTTTTCACAACCCTATTAACCGATCTCCCTTTATTGACTTTAGTAACTCACCGATCTCATCAAACAGAATCTTTAATATCATAAAAAAATATATGATTTGTGTCTTATTTAACTCATCTTTATTAATAAACAGAAATGCACTTCTGAAGTCTACTTTAAATCTGAATCTTTACAGACAAATTGGAACTGCATTGCTAAGTTATTTATAGATACTTTTTACGTTAAGGACAATACAGGAACTTATAGAGGATACACTGATGGTGCAATTCAGTGGTCATATGACTTGAGAGCTTCTAAACACTAGATCACAAGTCTAGCCCCCAAATGCCCTGGTATGGCCGAGAGTGAGGAGAGTCCGCTTCCCCTCTCTAAATGCTCTCACACGGCCACGCGTATACAGCCTCTGCCAGAGAAGTCCTACTCACTGCCTTCTCGTGGCGGGGGTGTTGTTTACGAAAATAAGAGGACGAAAAGTGAATCCTCGGCGCTTTAACCGGATCTCAAACCAATGGTGCACATGGGCTCCAGTATCCTGCGGGAATAAATGGCGTATGAACCAATTGTTGGTCACCGGCTACCATGGGACCGCATCTTCTCAAGATGCTCCACTGCCTTGTGGATCAGACTTTCAGGTCGAAGGCTCGGGGTGTGGCCCTCTAAGAAAATTACCTGCTTCGGTTTGGGCACCCGGGCAGTATCACAGCCCTCAGGCATGTCAAATGAGATGTGTGGCGCATATGTATTTGGTGCCTCCTTGTACCAATATCTATGTGTTAAAATAAATAAATAAATAAGATCACAAGTCTGAGTCATACCTTACTTCAGGCTGAGCATTCAAGTATTACCATTAACTCTTACATATAAAGCCTAATTATTAGGTTCCTAAGTTGCATTAACTAGTTAGTTAATGACGTAATAATTTTTAAGTCATGTGTTATGCAACAATTGATCAACGCATAAGATTATAAAACTTAACAAATTACAGGACCGAACAAATCGTAAGATACAATGACAGAATTGTTTGAAATGATACAGCGAGAATCATAAGAAGACCATGACTAATTTATAACAGAAGGAATGTGTAACGTGCACTGAACTTGTGTACTGATGACTTAAATATTTAACTATAAAAAGTTAAATGAATTTTTAGCTATTTCGCTACAATTATTTAGAACTGAACACTCAGTACCACATAGTTAACTTTTATCAAAATGTAATTACCAAATGCTATTACATTATCCCGCTTAATCTTCTTTATTAATTTAAGTATCAATTAACTCACGCAATCAATGCTTCCCACTCAAAAAAATTCCTTTCATCCACTGGTCCAGCAACAATACCCTCTGGTGGATTGACTGTTAATTCTAAAATGAAGGAGCGAGTAATATAAATCAGAGCGTGAGATAATATGATGTAATTAATTTACCAAGTATAGGCTTATTTATTAAGTTTCGGGTCACATTTTAGGCGTGATTATTGACACTAATGGGCTGCCCTAGTCGATGTAGGTGAGATATGGTGCAAACCTGAAATATATGGGCTAAAATAACAGTAATTTAACCACTAACTTGATATTTCACAGACTTCATCATACGAGATCATTTTAAATGCATACTCGTATCTACGTTCTAAGAGAGAATTTTATTTACATGATGATACCAACCTAAACTTTCACAACACTTATCAAATCGCACAGTTAGTCCTACACAATATCGAACAGATCTGATTCGGACAAAACAAGTTCGCAACAACAATATATAGGGTAGTGAATAAGCATTACCGATTTCTTTTTGAGAACGTACGTCACGAAATGTAGAAGATTAGACATGTTTATAGGTAATTATTGTTGACGACCAGCAACGCATGTTCTTCACATGCTACATTTGGGTGGTGAACAAAGCAATTAGAAGCAATTACAGTGGTTGAGAGCCACTAAGACAGATTTATGAAAGGCTTGCTTCAGAAGCGCTCAGTATATGCCTAAGATATGTGTAAGGTGGATCATATATGATCCACCTCTTTTATATAAAAGAGCTGAGAATCAGCTTTCGGGAATAATAAAAGAACAAAAACCAAGATTACATCTTTGCTTGTTTAGAGTAAAAGACGGTTGTGAGAACTACAATTTGGCTTAATGAGGCACCAGTTAGATAATAGAGGTCATACAACTAAAGATGTTCAGTTGGTCCTCCAAAATGTACACATGACATAAACTTGTGTCAAGCTAATCCAACAAAATCATAGCGATTAAAAATTTGAGAATATTAGTAATTAACTGAAACGCACGTTTGTACTCTGCCATGAGTCTTTTCAAAGCATTGCCTGCCATCCTAAAGCAACGTGTAGGCAGAATGTAGCGCCAACAAAATGCACTTCCAATATCCTTGTAACGATAGACTTACTGAGAACTTACACATGCCTCATGGTGCTATGGCAAAAAAAACTTGGAAACTCACCAGAAAGTCGAAATTCTGATATTTTACTTGTTAAGTAACATTGAGAGTAGTTTTAAATGGCCATTAGATATTTATTTATTTCTTTCTACACGGAGAGTGAAGTCTTTACGCACACGTAGATGTTTAACTAAAATCCCCTAATTACATTTTGGATAGTGAATTCAGACCAATTTAAAAGCTTGTGCTGGGATATGGTAGAAAACAGAAGTTGATACAGGTCTATATGAATCAAGTGTAAGATTTTGTTGATGCTTCTTCAACAAACCGGAGAGACGCTGTGTTCTTGTCTCCTAGTGAACTTTAAAGCTTACGGAATGCCAATAGCATGCTTATTCAGAGACCTACGTCTGTCACTCCTTGTGGACGGGCACAGCCCGCTCGCCAGAATTCTTGAGCAAACTCTCCTAGTCAATCCTTTCAGTGTTGGTCCTTGTAGCTACTCATTCTTTTCGTCTGTGCATCCGATTTTCGACTCAATATGTTCGGTGGTCTTCTAATGGCTTGCCTCCATAATAATTATTTAGGCCTCGTTTATCAATCACTCTGATAACTGTCGTTAGATAAATGTTAACGATGTATGAGTTCAGAAGCCAACACGAAGCGCCGACTATATTTCATCACTGGATAGAGCGCAAGCAAGAAATTACAAAGGAAGAGTCAGACTCAAATGGAATCGAAGCAAAGCAACTACTAAGATATATATATATATATATATATATATATATATATATATATATATATATATATATATATATATGGGAAAAATAATGATAAGTTCGATAGTCGAGATCATGAGTCGATTGAATTTAGACCACCATGGAAAACCTGGAAGCACTGGACAGCCATTTCGTCCTACTGTAGGACTCCTCAATGGTGCGCATCCACGATCCAAACTCGTGAAATTCGAACCCAGGACCTATCGATCTCGCGCGCGGACGCTCAAAATCTAGGTCAACTAGTCCATGAAATTGAGCAACATACCCATGCCATTCTCCATCCAACACTGTCCTGAGCAATCCTAGTTGCTATTCACTTTTTTGAGGTCTGCTTCCAATTCCCGACTGAGTGTGTTACTTGATCTTGCTCTTTTCCTTTCCCCTTCAGTATTCCAAATTAGCACTTGCATCGTGATGCAGTTTGATGATTTTCAAATTTATGTCCTATTCACTTCTCACTTCTTTTCCTAATTTCTTCTTCGACTGGAAGCTGGTTTGTTCTTTTCCATAGTTGGCTGTTGCTGATGGTATCCAGTCAACGGACATTGAGTATCTTGTATACACAATTGTTTATAAATACTTATACGTTTTTGATTATGGTTGTGATGATTCTCAAAGTTTTAGCTCCGTATAGTGGAACTGTCTTGACGTTCATATTAAAGATTGTGACTTTGATGTAGGTTGACAGATTGTTTTTTCGAGTTCCATATGTTCTTCAACTGTAGGAATGCTGTCCTTGATTTGTTGATCCTCGCCTTTACGTCTGCATCGGATCCTCCTTGTTCAACGATGATTCTGTTCAAGTACATGAAAGTTTTCACCCATTCCAGAACGTCTCTAGAAAGTGTGATTGGTTTGGTGTTCTTCTTGTTGTATTCGAGGACCTTGATTTTTATCCTTGTATATTTTGAGGCCTACTATTTTAGTGCAGTTGCTATACCGTTTGTTGTGACGTGCATCTTTTGATATAATGAGATAGATAGGCTAGATAAAGTCATCTGTGAAGGCTATATTAGCTTGTTGCAGTCAATCTGTCGATCGTATTATGTGGTTTCCCTGGAGAAATATAATTAGTGAGATTAAGCAACATTGTAAGTGGTCAATTAAATGACAATAATTTAAATTGTTCAAAGCAATTGTGACTCTCGATCTTAAATCGTTTGGAACGTTTTCGTAAGTCAGAATATGTGCTTTACTCTCTGTTGTCTCACTACATATGCTTCTCCGAAACACTAGCGAAAAATCTCACACTTGATCTATGTATCCAAAATGCAACAATAATCAACATTTTACCGCCTTGGTCAATTGTTATTTTTCGTTATTATCATTATTGCTAATTGTAATTTTTGTTACGCGGAACTAATTCTTATTTTTTTTGTGCACGCCAAACTTATCCCTTCATTCATAGGTTTTAATTCATCCGATTCTCCTAACTTATGTAAACGCTTCCAAACCTGTTCATATATTACGCAACCCATTTTAGTAACTTCATATTCCAGTTATTTTATTTTAATCCTTCACAACCTTGAAATTATCAGGCAGTCTATCTAATCTTTTTACGGATCATATTTAAGCATTGCTCCACGCACACACACAATGTTTTGAATTGTATCTCTAAACAACCTCTCACCTGTTCTTACGTCAGATGCTTTAGGTGTTATAGATCGAGTCTGTCTGCAAATCACACTAGACTTATTAATTCGAATCCTATTAACTTGGATTGTTATGATAACCATATATTATCCTTATTTACTACTTCGAGTAAATCACGCTTAATTCAAAAACGATTATATCTATCCAGTGCTTCATTTCACGAATTTATTGTTCACACTGGTAGTACAAAGTCCATCATTTCTGTTGGGAAATTGAAGTAATTATATTCCAGTGCTATAATTAAATCTAACAAAGTTTCTATTCCGAGTATTACATTTCATAAACTTCCTGTTCTTGGGTATTGCAATTTGCTGACTGAAGACGTTAAATCTTTGGTCATAAGTTGTGAACTCTTTCTTGTTGATTTTGAACGATCTATCCCAAGTCAAGAGAATTTAATAATGCTATAGTTACAGTTTTGTTGTTGACCACTAAAGACGGTTCTAATGAAATGTTTGATACCTTACTAATCACACAATCAAAGTTCGGAGAAGTATGCATCATTTTGTTGGCCTGTGTAAACTGCAAGAAATTTAAGGTGGATAAACAGGACATATGACTCTTGAGCTTTATCAAAACACCTGACAGCTGTCTTGACTAAGTCCACCTGAATTTGGTAGTACCATTGCCAGATTCAAATGGATAATCTTACCTTTTAACGTGTGTGGAGCGTTTCACATGATGGTCTGAAGCAGTACCCATTAAGAAAGTTACTGTTGAAACAGTGTCCTGAGCCTTTTTGGGATGGTTGCTAGCAAACTTCGGCTGCCCTACAACTATCAATACAGAACATTCAAATAAGATCAAAGCTGGACTTTTCATTTGCTTGACTACGCTATTAGGAATCATGTGATTCCGAACAACTTTTTACTACTCACAAGCGATAGAAATAAAATAGAGCGATAGCCTAAAGCTTTACTCTCAGCTGAAAGCGTTTCGCCGTGAACCGACGCTCTTCTACTCGTTTTGCTCGGTATATACAATGCATTAAAAGCTGGGATTGAACATACTGCTGTTCTACTCACTTATGGAACCATACTCCGTCTTTCAGGATAAGTCCTGGATCTCTCATCTTCTCCAATGAATATGGGACTAAACTCCTGTTCGAATAGGCTTACAAACCCCATGAGATTAGCGAAACCTGTTTTCACTCTATTTCGGTCAACTGATGTTTTCGTCTAGCCTGTCGTACGATAAAGTACACACGATTCTGTACATCGCAACTCAACAAAGTGACCTCTGTAAATGATATACGAAGGATTCTTCAAGGTCTTTCAGCATCAAATTCTACATCATCGATACGAACGGAATTAACGATAATATTGCGATCAACTGTACTAAACCTCGTATCCAGAACGAGAACCTAATAATAATGACTTTGTTCAGATACAATGGAACGACACAAGCCGGACAATTACGATACCGCACTCGATAATTAACAGTTACGACGGAACTTTGGTGGTATTTGACAGTCAACCTAAAACAACGCATTTTAGAAGAACGCTAAGGTTTCTGAAACGCTTGAATGACTAGTGAACGCCAGGCACAACATATACTGTTGCTTTAACTTTTTTTGTGATATTTTGACAAAAAACCAATGACAGAATAATTTTACAGTTATGCCCACATATATGTGCACATATTTTATCAACAAAATCATTTTACAAAAAGTGTTTCAAATGATATTGCATTATGACAAAACTCTCATATATCAGTTTTTCCCTTTTCTGCCCACATTTATTCCTTACTCACGTACGAGTGTATTTCAACAGGCTCTTACACTTACTTTCTTTCATTTCCAAGACGGCTGAAAAAGATTAGAAACTGAAAAGACTACGATGAATGAAGGTTTTCACTGTACATTTTTTAATTGCTATATTGTATCAAATTGCATCATATATCGGAAAAACACGATCAGATGCTACTAAAGATAGCAAGCTTTAGGAAAAGTGTTTACCAACGACAAGCTCGTTGGGTTTAAACTTCTAACTTGCCACGTCTTAAGGTAAACATCACCTCACTTGGGAGGAAACTGGGATGTGGCAGTAAAAGTCTTTAATTTGTGGAATTATGGCCTGCTTTGATATTAGTACTTCTCTAATAACAGACCTAATCCTAAAACTGCAGATTTGTTATGATGTAACTGTCTAATCTATAAGATCTTATGTGTAAGTCACATCATTGTCTACTCTGATTCATCGCGTTGTAAAAATTATCAATTCATGATGAAAAACACATTTGGGCAGGAGATAGATCAACGTATTTAATATGGATAAAATAACGTTGCATTAGTACGAACCACGCCTGCAAGGCCGAGCCATGCCATCCGACCAATTAGAATTAATTACACTCATTGTTCCCACTTTCTCCATCGTTGGGTTTTATCTGCGTTAGATGGTGAATATTTATTTTCCCGGTTGTTCTGTGTTCAGTTTCGAGGATTGTGTGGTTATGGCCCATTACCGCTACAAGTCTTTGATGTTAATACTGGACAAACCCAGCTGAAGTCTATCGTCCACGCGTCCGCACGAGATCACGAGTTGGTTCACCGTGCTGGGTGTCCCTTTTGACAGTTAGTCAGCTCAGATCGAACGCTTATCGGCATACTGATGGCCTTCCAAATATATCTTCGAACCCTTTCATTTCTGACTTCTGATTTGACTGGGTTGGTATGTTTAGAACGTAAAGGTATCACGTGCAGTTGTGTTGTCTAACTCCGAACACCTGTGACATAAGTTGATGAAAAATATGAAACTGTTACAGATATAACAATTAAACTTTATTAACTATATGGGCATATTAATCTGTCGCTTTTAGAGAGTTCACGTAGTTTGTTTGAGTGGTAATATATAAATAAATATCAATAAGAATAAAAAACGTATCAGGAATTACATGTTATAGCACTGAGTTTTTCCAGTGCTGGAAGGGTGCTTGCATTACTAACCGAAAAATGCACAATTCCATCCACTTCGTGCACTCTAATAAAAAAGAGGGACGAATTATCATGGTAGTCGCCATAACAATATGTACGGTAAAATGAAGTATGTGGTTTGTGATGAGTTTTAAAACCAGGAAAAACTAACGATAAATAAGTACCACTGTCTCAATGAGCACCATAAATCTGAAAAATATCTCACAGCTGAATTAATGAAGAATAGATGACCAAAATGTATAGATGAAACGATTTTTAAAGACAATCACACAAAACTTTCAAAAGCTATCTTATTATACTAAAAAAACATACTTGCACAGCATTGTAGAATCTAGTTTTCACAGATGGAACTATTAGTTGATGGATATTGGAATATGCAATTCGGATGACAAGGTCATCTGGAAAGTTTCGGGTTCGTTTGAATTCTGTGTTACGGTTGTCGTAGATCTCGCTTCTTTAGTTTTGCGTTTGTTGATAATGACCAACTGTCTATTATTCCATCGCAAACTGGAGTTAAAACAGTATGTTTTTTAGTTGTGGATATCTAGTTCTCTTAGTTCTTTTTATTATGTTTTGCATTTGTTAACATGAAATTTCGAGCAGTCCTTCAAAACTAAAGGTTTCATCAGATAATTATTTTTCATATAAAGATGTGTTGAAATGACGAAATACAGTTATCAAACATATATACTGAATAGTTCGATTTTTTTACATATCTTAGTCGTGCTCAAATTTCGTGGATATAACTTAGACCTTTGTGAATTGTGTAGTCTTATTCGTACACTCTTAAGACTTTCACACTAATTCAAATAGTATTTCTGCTGAATATCCATCAAGTGGTCAGTTTTTCCGAAAAGCTTAGGGTTTGACTGTACTAACTGGCTCTTTTTTGTGCTTTTCGACCACGACATTAGAGAACGATTTCAGGTCTCTGATAGTATCCAATAAATTTAGTCTATCCAATCCTTCATAGCAGTTTCAGCTAATTTGACGAATATAAGGAAATTGGTGGAACCATGGTGTCACATCGCCGACTCGCTGATTGTCTTAATCTATTAAAGGTTTTGAGATGGTAGTCAGTGAATTAAATGTTATTGGGAAAAAGATAATGGGCTAGAAATAAACAATTGGCAGTAATAATGCCTGTGAAGACTAACAACTTGAAGAAACAAAAGTTGTATCATATAACATGGACGGAGTAAGACTAATAAATGTATTTGCATTTTACCGTTTACTTATTCTTTATCGGAGCTGGCATAATACAATATTGGTACACACGTGATTCAGTCTATACTTAAAGAGTCCACTACCAGTTGTGATCGCGCTGAATAGTAAATGATTTCAGCTGGCACATACTTTTAGCTTGGAGTGAGTTCTCACCTAGGCATTTACTATTTGATAAACGATTTCTCATGTCTTACTTTGCTAATTTCCATGGTGGTCTACTATTAAACATACTTTGTCAAAGTAAATTGAACTATTCACTGCCAAATAATTTTCACTTGACTGCATTTATTAATCTAGTTACATTCAAGACGTATGCTAGTAAGAATTATGACACTAATCACATCTCATTAACTTGTAGTTAACTTTTTGAATAAATCCATATAACTTCTTTAAAAACCACTAGTTTAAATGCTTCAAACATAAGCTCGAATAGGTGTTTAGATTATAGACTGCTACAAATGAATAAATACATCTCCATTCATGATATGACGGTATTAGAAAACAAAGTTTCTCATTTCGAACTTATTGTGATTCCGTTTTTGAATTCAGTATGGTAATTACTCGGAGTAATATTTGTTTAATTTTTCTAGTCTGATATTTTATTCATTATAAAATTGGTTTATTTCACTGGTATGTTTAGACAAAATATGATATTCCTTGTACTAAATTAACATTAAATATACTCATCATGATATACATGTGATTTATTACAATTATTGGCATTTTTCATGTGACGTTTTCCTAATTAATAGTCAAACGTGTATACAAATCAGCATATACATTAGTGTACTTTCGATTAAAATCATCGTCATTTTTTCGGGGTGAGTAGATCGCGTCGTGTAAATTGTCGTGGTTCCTCGTTTCAAGCATAAGCGATAAGCGACATCGAACATAACGATGTCAAATTTAAAACACCAGAGCTGTACATGTTTCATCAGTTAGTTATTTATTTATGAAAACACAATCCTTTTCCATTTGAGGTTCAATTCATGTTCAGAATCTCATTTAAGTAAAAGTGGGATGCATTTAAGCAACAGTTAAAAAACAACAATAATGAGTATATTTTCTCATATCCCAATTCGTAGAAAAATTATATTTTTCCTCATTGTGATATAACAAAAAATATTTATTATTAACTCTACCAAATGCTCAATTTATTTGAAACTATCAATTTGAAAAACGCTATCGCATATTTGCAAACTTCATGTATCAAATTTGACCATCACCTAGTTGAAGAAGATAAGCTGCTGCATTTACCTACTTTTGGTGATACCTTAAGTAATTATGATATCAGTACATGTCTGATAAGCCACCTAGCATTAATCAAACTACATACATCTGTTTAGGGATAACCTCACTAACAAGTCCATCAGAATTAATTTAACTAGTTAGGTTAATGAAGCCGTCGTTATATTTCCGTATAACCACACTGTATTAATTAAAATAAATCTTAATTTGTACAATTGATCCTTAATCATTTTTATTTTGTCCAGTTTTTATTTTTATGTTCACTTTATGTATAATTATTTTTCACATCAGCCAACACACCTTGTTTAACAAAAACCAATCAAATCAATTTATAAACAAAGCTTAGGATTATTGTTTTTTCTCTACATGACTGACGAACCTGAGAAAGTTTTCAATCCTATAGTTGCATCAACTGATGAACAAAATGACCAGCTAACAATTGAGGATGTGGATCAATTACAACATGAAGCAAGTGAAGATAGTACAGGCAGTGAAGATTTGAGATTATTTTTAAAGGTATGCTTTAACAACTGGTCCATATTTTGTTGATGTTTCATTATTCATACTTTTCTGTGGTATCATTTTATGCCAGACTGAAGCACATCTTCTAACTGTAATAAGTCATTAGTCAATGGTTGTTTCAATTTATTTCCAGCTGTTTTTACGGAATCCGTCTTTAGTGATAATGAATGTTGTGATAGTTTTTCTGTAAGTGGTTTTTTAAGTATTATCTGATCAGCTGATAAACGTATCCAGATAATGTTTTATCAATTCAATCTTAAAAGGTGATGATCAGAGGAAAAACGTTGAACAGAATTCATTATTTTTCATATACGCATAGTTGTTTCGTTTAGGAACTATCCTGGGTGAATTATTGAATTTTTTCTTTAACACTTAGAGTATCCCTTTCTTAAGATCTAAAAATTGTCTAACTGATAGATTGACTAACTTGTTTCCTATTCCTTTTTACCTCTATGAAGAATAAACATTTATGAATTTAACCACTAAACAAATAAATCCTAGGTCGTTAATTTGCTTTACAAGTCAGCCAAAGAAATACCCGTACAGGGTTTGAGATTGTTTCTGAAATATGAACACTTTAATGGATAGGGTTTTGTCAGTTTTATGTAAACTGTTGTTAATATTGAGCCTAAAAATTTATGTTATCCATGCTTTTGTAACTCTCAGTACAGATTAGGCAATTCAGTTTGGTAAAAAACTTATTGGATTTAAATATATTGTCCAGAAATAATCGAAAAGTTATTTTCAATCGGGGTTATAAACTTTATAAGATGTCATTTTTACGAAGTTGTAGTTTCCCTAGATGAATTTCCGATCGCATTAGCTTCTCGCTAGTAGTTCGTTGCCGATTGCCTAGTACTACTACCAGACTATATCTAAGTAAGGTCATTTTGTTCACTTCTATGGCAGAAACTAGATTATTTTCCAACTATTATCTCATTGGCTCAACATATCCTAAACTCACTCCAACCATTTTAAGATTCGCGCTTGAAGTATTCGGTAGCGGTGTCTTTTCCTAAAGATCTGTCAATACTTTTCTGTTTTCCGTTGATAAGTGTTGATTCTTTTCTTTAATTTTCAGGGTGATGTCTTCGGAGATGCCTTTTGAAATTACATGAGCAACCACCAATACATACAATCGCAATTCACTTGACAATTCAATTAATATGTTAGATATATATAATGTTCGTCACTGACTTTAACCTAACAATCTCTGAAAACTAGGGTCCATTGGGAAGTTGTTTCATTCTAATATAGGACTCAGCAGTGCATACGTATGATTATGCCACAGTCCCTACATTTCATGATTAGCGCGTTACATTCAGACTACATAGTTGACATTGAGTGAGTCTGGTTTCTAACTGCTAGAGTTACATTGCCATGAGGAAAAACGTATCCAACTCTTTTATTCCCATTTCTTTTTTACTTATCTTCATTTCATATTGTAAACTAACTTAACAATCATATGATCTCTTTGAATCCTCCTATCAGGATAATTTTTTATATGTTCTACATGATTTTTACAGGAATTACATGAAAAAGTAAAAGAAGACCACCATCATCACAACCAACAGCAACAAATTCAACAATCTCATGTTATCCCTTCAACAGGACATTTACAACCAGCTTGTGTGATTAATCCTGGTGAGTTATCAGTCATTGGTGGTGGTGGTGGATCATCAACAGCCGTGGCATCTTATCATTCATCACAATATAATTTGAAAACGAATCAGCTGATACAATATCAAACACCTGGTCAAGTAACGACTACTGTCGATCAACATTATCATACGTCTATAGGAGGTTAGTTAAACTTTTTCTTTTTTTCTTATTATTATTTGATCTAATTTGTTGTGGTACAACTGATATTTATTTGAAGGATAGTTTTCATCGCTATCTGATGCTGTCACATTTTTGATAGGGTGAGTAGTGTACACTCACAAATCTCAATACAAAATCGACCCACAGATCCTCCAATCTCACGTAAAATACATTGCCTTCAGATATACATTGTGTCAAAATCCAGTAGTTCACATTTTCAAAATGTGCCAGTAGATTCTCTTAACCTATGGTCGTACCAGGACATTTGAGGACTAATTTTAATAAGTTATTATTATCATGGTGAATATTGTTTAACGCTAAATAATGAACTGTGTCATAGTTTTGAATTAGAGTTGAGGTCAAACCCTACTGAAAGTCAACAAAGATAGAAAGTTACAATAAAAGTGCATATTCTTTTATGTAAAAAATAAATAATTATTTACTATTTTTGGATGCTATGAGGCTAAAGTTTTACCCATTTTTACATTCACTTGACTTCATCGAATACGCTCGACTAATGTATCTAAGTAAATTTTAATGATAGTTTTATAATTGACGGGTTTAGACTTTTATTCTAAAATTTATTGGTGGGGAATTAAAGTCTATAAGCATAATTTTACCATTGGGTTGCACGTTCAAAACTTCTCTGCATCTTATTCTAACAGGATATCCGGTGAATTAGTATCACTAGCCGTCACGCAGACTATGTAACTCGAAGCCGTGTATATAATAACTGGTTGGAATCCGTGAGACGATATCTGTCAGCGATTGCTATGGATGACAGCTCAGAAATCAGTCTATTGGGCTGTGTATTGTTTTTTTATCTCACTCTGGATGTTGGTTTCCAACATTCCTTCATGCCTTTTCTAACCATGTTCTAATTGCTTTGTCCTTCTCACTATCATAGTCACTATGTTATTTCAGTCTCTTTTGCCATTCATCTTGTTAATTCCATCTCATCATTCCAATACAGTATTGCTAACTGGGCCATCAAAAACATGTGTCAGGCTGTACTTTGATTTTCATTGACAGACTACATACTGAATTGCGTTAAATTGAACCTCCGAAAAGTTAACAAGACATTTTCTACAGTAGAAGTGGATTTTATGATTTGAAATGAAGGACGTTTGGGGATTGTTAAATGTTTAAATAAAATGTTAATTGATAGATAAAATGAAATGACATGATCTGAATAAATGATACCTGGCCCCAAATGTTATGGTACTGCAGAGGGTAGGGAGAGTCCGCTCTCCTCGAAATGTTTTCACACGGTTACGCATATGTAACCACTGCCAAGGGAGTTCTACACATTGCCTTCCGTCACAAAGTGTTATTTACAAAATTAAGTGGACGAAAAGCGTATGTCCGGGGCTATAACCGGTTTAGTGAGTACGGAGGATCCACATAGGGAAGCTGGAAGACTGCGATCCCAAACCCATAGTGCACATGGACTCCAAGATCCTAAGGATACAAATCACATTACCTATGCAACAAATGTCGAGGGATAAGTCTATTTCTGATTGCGCTCAAACTATTAGCTACCGTCATACTTAGTAAATCGTTCAAAACACGAGAAAGATTGACTCGCGAGGAGCAGGCCGGTTTTGGTCGAGGATGTATTGATAATATCTCCACCAAATGTTATAATACTGACATACTTATTCCAGGTCAACAATCGTTGTGTTTCTTGACACCAGGACCGCATTTGACTTGTTGGATCGGACTGTTCTCTGGGATTGTCTATTGAAGGAGGGTGTTCCTGATTAGCATCTTGAAGGCTCTATATACAAAAAACTCAGGCAGAGTAAGGACATACAACCACCTCTATCTACTGTTCCATTCAAGCAGTAAGGTTAGTCAGGATCCCACAATCTCACCATCCCTCGTCAATTTTGCCATCGATGACGTCCTGGAAATAGCTCTGATGGGTGTAGGTAATGGTGGTGTGGATGCGTTACCTGGAGAAAGACTTCTCAACGTTGAGTATGCGGACGATATTGTCTTACTGTGCGGTGATACCCACGGGATGCAACCCTTACTTAATTAGTTGGCAGTCAGCGTTCGTAGGTATGCCTTGCACCTTCGTAGTGCAAAGTACTTTTACAAGACTGGCATGACCCTGAACCTACACCCACTCTGGGTACTGAGCTGATAGCAGTTGAGAAGTTCGTATATCCGGGTAGCTATATAAGTGCTGGTGATATAGCACCAGTCATTGACTGTTTATCTAGGGTATGTTGGGGAATATAAACTTACTGGTTGAAGTCTGCACTATAATTGAGATTTAGGACTTAACCATTGTAGGTACTATAACTTAAAGTCGATCTTTTTGATCAGTTTCTGTCTTTTTTCATAACTTATTTGTTTTTGTTTCGTTCTCTGTCATTTAAACTAAGTGATGTATTGATGCTTTTTACTTGTTATCCTATGGTTAATTTCCTTTCACACCGTCCTAGCATAAAGTATGGACATAGAACTTAGATCAATGTCAACTTATCCCATGTGCGCACCACGTTGTTTACCTATTTGAATGGTTTTTCCGTTGTGTTATAAAAATAATTCCATCCTCATTAAAGGGACTGAATGTTATCAATATGATTATAATTATTCTGGATAGTAATAATAATAAGTAGTATTGTATAAGCCAAAGATATGTGAATGGTATTTTTGCAAACTTTGATTTTTTTTTCTAAAAGAAAGCAAACAAACAATTTATACCATTTATCTGTTGTGTTAATGTAATAATTGTGTTCATTTCAAATTTCCTAGTTTCTATCTTTCTCTCTTGTATTTCTCGGTTATAATAATATTAGAATTGAATGCACACGATGTTGTATCTGACGGTGGTTGGGGTTGGTTTGTTGTGCTCGGTTCATTTTGTTGTATGGTACTAGTTGATGGAATATGTTTCACTTATGGTCTATTAATAAATCCAGTCTGTCCATATTCTAATTTACGTGTACTATCATCATCACCAAATGAACGGAAATTCAATGAAAGTGGTCCAATTAAATACCCTCGTAATGATCGTATTATCCAACCAATCATTGGCAGTTGTATACCAATTTCAGAATTAGGTGAAGATTTTCAAATACAACAACGTTCGATTTTATTAACTCCTGGTGGTCTAATAGTTGGTCTATATCTATTTCTTGGTAAGCTAACAAATGCTCTTGACTTTTTGATAGAAATATAAGTGAATTTAGGAAAAAAATGTTAAGTGTGGTAACTCAAATTGCTCGTTGATTGAGTAGTAGTCATTATCAGAGAGAGGTTCATGAAGGACTTGATATTTATGAATCCAATTCCTTGCAGGTCTTGCTCAGGAATCTCAAAACTAACTGTACTGTGTTAGTGTATTTTAGATGTTTTCCCTTTCGATATCAATATATCATCCATGACGAATAAATGATCTAACCCTATCGACTAAGTTTTACTTCGTGAATTTTAAGGTTTTAATAACTCGAAATTGTGGAGAATAGTGCATACTGTACTAAATATTTTTAATATTATTGGACGAAAAATCCACATCAGTAGCAGCAGAGCGGATAGGCCAGTTATGGTCTTGGTGTTCGACAAATAGCGTTACCCACTTGTACCTGAGGAATGGAGTAAAGTGTGTTAGTTAGTTAAACGCTGAAACCGTATGTGCACCCTTAGTTCCATCTTCCTTTTTTTGTAGTTATAATGTGATATAAGGAAATAAAGATTCTTATTGGCTTTTCCATATAACTCTTCAAAGCTAGCAAGAGTTTTATGGCAGTATAAACAAACAATGTTTATGGCGAGAAAAGTTCTAATACTATCGTCTCGTCCTTTGAATTGTCTCTATTGTTTCGTCCCATACAGTCAGCTGGTGGATTATCGGTTATCTACTCATCCAGTCAAACCCAATGTAAAACTTAGTACAATAACACAGCGAGATGAAATTGCCAGGGAAAATCTCAGATTAGTAGGCGTAGTAGCGATATTAGTGGTAATGAAATAGTTTAGGCGTCGAAGACACCATTCAAAAGAAGAGTAAAATATTGGGGAATTGAGAAACGTAGGATCTAAGATAAGATAAAATGGATGTACCGCTGCCATTTCAAGCAATTTCGAGTCGTGTCGTTCAAAGTCTCTAACGATTGATTGCGAATTCCAACTAAATAATCTACACCTGTTAACAATGACTCAGTTCAATTGTAAATAACTTAGTAGAGTGGTGCCAAGTCTTGGTTTGACTACCCCTAGCTTTCTCCCAATCTGCTCCTACACCAGACAACGTTGCTTGTTAAGGTAGGTGGTAATTAGGTGTACTTGTTTGGTTCACCTTCAAATGAAAGACATTACCACAGAACCTCACAATTAACAGAGTCGGGCGCCGTCTTAAAGTCAAGGAATACGACTATTGTTGGGCGTCAAGAAGTGCCGAAACCTCCCGAAGGGTAAAAGTAAATCATCCTTTAAAATCTTGGAAGTTATTCCATCAGGCCTATTATATATATATCTGTAAATAATGACTTTTTCTTACTGTATTTATCCGTAGAAAGTTTTTTTATTCCATGTCAACTATTAGGTCTCATTTAAAAGTATCAATCAATTAATTATCAATGTAACTTATCACGTACAAATACCAAAAAGACACGATAACATTGATTCATACGTAATTATTCATTTCTGTTTATTATATATATATATATATATATATATATATATATATATATATATATATATATATATATATATATATATATATGTCAGAGGCTCTCGACTTCGGTCCAATAAGTCGGAAGTTCAAACCTCCACTTACTTCAGTGGAGCAACCAGGTGTATCACTAACACTTATACAAATCATTTGATTTGTGTGAGGGTTGGGATACTGCCCGGGTGCCTTAACCGAAGCAAGTGGTTTTCTAAGGGAGTCACACCCCGAGCCTTCGACCTAAAGGTCTAATCCACAAGGCAGTGAAGCAACGTTAGGAGATACGTTCCCATGGTAGTCGGTGACCAACAATAGGTTAATACTCCATTTGTTTCTTTAGGTTTCTGGAATCCATGTACACCATTAGTTTAAAATCAGGGTTTTCCAACTCCCCTAGGTGGATCCACCGTATACACCAGCGCCGAACATTCGCTTTTCGTCCTCTCAATTTCGTAAACAACACCGTGACACTGGTTGCATGCACGTGGTCACTTTTTTATATAAACTACTGATAAATATCAGAGCGAATGCTCGTGTAATAGGAAGAAGGATTTAATAAAGTAGCAGCATTCTAGATGAGGACCGACCAGTTGACTGATATTTTGCTGCTAAATGTCCTATTAAGGCTGATGAAACGAAGAGTGGGATTTCCCTTTTGAAGTGCTCTCATATTGCCACTAATTTATAGCTTCTTCCTTTGATGTTCTTACTGTCTTAACGTGGTCGGATAATGTTTATGTAAGTGGGGGAGTAAATCTAACATCATGTACTTGGATCAGGTTGGTGGATACAATAGGTCTAGGATTCTGAGGGAATTAATGGTGTGCGGATTTGTTTTGACCACTAAATATTATGAGAGAGCATCTCCCAAAATCTCTTCATTTCCTTGTGAACTAAACGTTTAAGTCAACCATGAGTGTTTCTGAGAAAAACACCTACCTCAGTTTGGGCTCCTTATCATCATCGCATGCCTCACACGGATAATGTTAGGTAATAATTTAATGACGGATGATTTTCATTTCAAGTGGTTCCTCTTATCATTCAAATTAAACTGTCTACTTAAGACTTGTAAAACATTCTAGTTGAATTAGAAAAATGTTTTTAAATCAGTAATATTGATATGTTCTTGTATTTACTAATAGTCTGTCGAGGAGTGATCTGAAAAATATATTATTTCAAAAACTTCAGTCACTACTCTACTTTATATTCAGTATATTTCTTTATCTTCTGTTTTCATTGTCGATTATGCCGTTCCCCGTCTCACCACTATAGGTCCACTCGTTAGTGCGTTGAGCAATCAATTCGATTTTCGCCCGGTGGCTATGATTGGTGCAATTATTACTACAATTGCATTGTTAAGCAGTGCTTTTGTAACAACCATTGAATTGTTTACATTGACATTTGGACTTCTTGGTGGTAAGTAGTAGTGTGATATATATATACATTATCACGTTTTCTCAGTCCTGATAACAGAATGCTTCATAATATAGTTGATAAAAGTTCTATTCACTTAAAATGTGTACGATAAGTAAGGTTTTGTTTTTTGTAACCAAGACTGCTTTTTGTATGATGTAAATTTCACTCATTGACAAACAAATCATTACTAATAACTTCCTTGAATTTAAAGCTCATTCTGCTCAAAACTTAAAACCAGAACAATCAGTATTTTCTTCAAGTCTATAAGTTTGCAAGATGAATGTTTATTGCCATTGTAGCTAATTAAGTTCGTTGTTGAGAGATAATGTGACTTTTAAAATATCTACTACAGGTTTTACCATCTCCTCATATTATTATGTTCTTCAGATTTGGACAATTGGGATAGGATAGTGTCTTCAGATTTCAATCAAGTATTCTATTTTAAAGCTGAGTATATGACGATTAATTATGGGAAAGCGAATAAATAGAGGAATTACCGCAAATTATTGGGAAAACAAATCTTAGAAATCTAGAATTTCTTGCTGATGGGACAATGTGAAAATTACGTGCTCAATTTTCTTTTCGAGATCTAGTTAGATCTTCAGCCTATATTGTTCATGGCTTGGCAACATATTTTTCCAGTGTAATCATACTAACTTTACCTAGTTTTCGATGACTTGGTTTGTCAAAAAATTTAGTGTTCAACACACACAAAATATTCCAAAATTATAGATTTCAAACATTTTCTTCTTTCATTAGCAACGTTACATATTGTTTCGTTCGAGTAAAGTATGTTTGTTTAAACGGATATGTTGCTAAACGCATTAATAAATATGTTAGCGTGTACTTGTATATACTTAATTTTTCCTCTGGCTAGCACTTTTTAACAAGGTTCTTCTTTATTGGATGGGGGTACTCTCAATATCTAACCTCACTCCTCTACCCGGGCTTCGGACCGGGAGTAATCCTAGAATGGCTCCAGGCGGGGTTTGTCAACTTCGTAGTCCCATAAAATCATACGTGACGTCGATTCATTAGCCAGCTTTTTCTGCTGGATATTGAGAAGTCTTATATTTTATGTAATCGGAAGAATAAATTCCAACCCGATTTGTAGCAGTAAGGACAAGTGTTAACAATCCGATCCGTCAGTGATTCTCTCTTTTTCTAATTACTCAACTCTTTTATACTATAACTGCCAACAGTCTCATAACTTTGTCTGCTACATGAATCATAATTTCTCTAGCATCACAATAAATATTAAGAGAAAATGGTTTCTGACGACTATACGAGAATTTTTGTTTCCAGATTAAGCCTAAATTGTGATATAGTAAGTCTGTCCATATAGTCACGATGAGAATCATCGGGACACTTAATAATATTACTATTATAAGAGAAAGTAACTACTAATCAGAGAATACTTAAGATCAACGTAATAGCTATGATAAACATAAGTGATCACTAGTTTGTTTGTTCTTGAAATACATTAGTAAAACAATGAATACAGAGGACTGTCCTAATGATTGCGTAGTGAGACTCCATGCTGGCTAACTTTTCCGTTTCTTTGTGGACAGTAGAGAATGTTGCTCACACTTAAAGTTTGTTCATTAAAGAAAGTAACATGGTTGAGTTGGTTTAATAGGTAGCACAATAATAACGAAGATTAAAATGATGTGATGTATTCTCGCTCACAAACGTATGGGTTGATGTTTTGTTTCCAAAATTATTAAGTACAATGTTAAAAAGAGATAGATACAACAAACAGTGTGTGTAAGAGAGATTGTGCTGTGGAAATTTTAAAAATTCGTCCGATGAAATCTTTGAGGGAAACGTTTTATGGTACCAAGCTTCACATAGTCCTTTCCAGTTACCTCATTTTCGTGGATGTGTAAAGGATGAACTCTCATTGAGCCACATCAATGTGTATTTATAAGTTTGTTTGCTCCTGTGGAGCATATTACGTTAGTCACACAAAGCGGGCATTTGCCAAACGCATCTCAGAACATTATACTGTGTGGCTTTCGAAATGTGAATGCAGAACAAGCAATAGTTCAATACTAAATAATCTTTCCAACTCTAGTCACATGATCCTTTAAAATCATCTACACAGTCAGACGATTTAGTTCGAGAGGAGCACAAATTAAATAAGCTATGAACCCTAGGGCGTTAACTATTCATCTTTTCAAACCTGTACTATGCGTGCAAAAGAGACATGTGTAAGCCATCATTCTTCCGTGGCCCTGAAACTTTTCACAAACTATACTCGTCAAGTGAACATTTCCCTTTCGTACGCTGGATATCATCTTATTCTGTTTCTTCAAATTCTCGTTCATTAAGTAACGTTGTTTTAACACATGTTATGATGTAATAGTGGCCCTAATTTTCAATAGACTATTTTATTTGTTGATTAACTATAAATATGATTGTTCAGGTTAAGTGATATTGTCCAAAAAATTTTTCTTCACTGAATTGTCTTTGATTTCTCTTCAATGACACTATGGGTTACTTCGGTTATTCATGTTTTCTGTTAATTAGTTGGTTGAGTATCGTCGATCTGTATAATTTTTTTCCATATTATTATTATTGTTTGTCATTTATGTTTATTCAACAGGTATTGGCCTATCATTTATCTATTTACCGGCTATAGCTACCGTTGGACATTGGTTTCAACAGAAACGTCCACTAGCTGTTGGCCTAGCCTTATGTGGCAGTGGTATGGGTTGTTTAGTCGGTGGTCAAGCAATTCCACGTTTAGTTTTATTATTCACATGGCGTGGGACATTGATTTTATTGGCTGCAATTTGTTTTCAATGTCTTGTAAGTTATCAATTTAGTAGTAAAATAACGTTTTTTTTTTTAAAAAAAATTTCAAATGACTGTATTCCATTAATGTTTGTGATAATACACGAGTTTCCAACTTGTTTTCTCCCTAACATTCTTCTACTAAAGATTGATGACACATTGAAACTAAAATAGAAATAAATTACAGTTCAAGCCATATTAAATACAATTTGAATTAGTACAAATATATTCATCAACTTAAGTTGTGCCATATTTTGAAAATATACTGAATGAATAATATTAAAAACTTCGTAGAAGATAAGAAATAAATACACCTATACTATTATTACCGGTTTCAAATTATGTTCACCTTAAATGTCCTACTATAGATTACGATTACAGAGGCGTCTTCAAATTGAGAATGTCTGTTACATTTGACATGACTATATTTCAACTCTATCGTCTTTTGATTTAACCACTTGACTCCTTGATTATTGATTTCTATCTTATTCATTTTTCCATCAGTTTAACAGTGCAATAAAAATTTTTCAGTGCCTAATACATAAACATGTACTCATAATAATAATAGTAATAATAATAATAATCCGAGAAAGTATACAATCAATTCATTTCATTAGTGAACCGTATTTCACTAATCATATAGACATACTAAATTAGTACTTAGCATTACTAAAACGAAATTCATGTTTTCTACTTTTTCTTTAAAATAGAAAGCATTTTAATTATAATAATAACAAGTAACTAAGTGTCTAGTTCTCCTTTTTTCTTTTTTTTATTTCCAGACACTTATTTTATTATTTCGCCCATGGGATGTACACTTTCAGATAACTCAAGCACAACAAGCCAAACGTTTAGCACGTGAAGCTGCTCGTCGTGCAGCAGCACTACGTCGTGCTGAAGCAGAACGTGTTCTACTAGAAGCTCGACGACGTAAATATCTGGCAGCACTAGAGGCAGCCGCTACAGCTCATACCGTCGGTGTAAAAAAACATTCTAATACAGCTCCTGTTGTAATGACTAATGATATTAACGGCAATAAACTAGGTTTTCAATGTCAACCAGGTGAATATCGTTCAAAATCAAATGACAGCGGTAGTGGTGGAGCCGTTGGGGTTGGTGGCGGTAGAAGAAGCTCTACACAGTACAATCGTATTCATGATACTAATCAAATAAGAAATGGACGTCAGAATAAACATTTTATTTTTAATTCACATAATCGAACACAACAAAATCCTGGTGTAATGAATACACGATCAAATGCAGTAACCGGTAATCGTTCAGTTAATCATCAAAATCAAGGATCTAGTAGAACGGCTAATCGTAAAAGGACACCTAGTCGTCGTGTCATTGTTTATCGGTGAGTTTGTTTTTTTACGATTTGCAATCATTTACTTTCTACCTCTCTCTCTCTCAGATCCTTTATTTTTAGTAATATTAATTGATATCGCTTTTTCCAACACAATATGATACTTAGCTTTCAGTCACATATATTGTTCAATAGCTAGTGATGCATTTCAGCTGTTTAAAGTGTGACTTAGGTGTTGAATCGCAGGTTATGAGTCTAAAATCCATCATTCGAAAGTGAGATACTTAAACCAGCAAATCATTTTTGCACTATTTTTCTTAAGATAATTCCAATCTGTCGAGACTGCAAGTTGACTCAGTGAGCAATCCAATAAATTAAAGTGTAAGACTCATCGATCGAATTGATTAAAACGTGTTATACTTGCCTACCCATTGTTTACTCAAATTTCTAAAGATTTCTGACATAAAATTTGGCAGGTAAAGATGCGTTATTTTCCAACGAGATCTAAACTCAGCCATTTCAGAAGGTACAAACTGTCCGATTTAGGCTCGTGCAGTAGTCGTAATGTGCACTTAGAAATGCGTTAATCATATGGTGGAAAATCAAGAATGGTGAGACGCTTATATTCATTACTTTTCATTTACGATCCTATTTATTCTTTTAAAATGTGTTTGTCATGTTCACATTTTCATTGAAGTTCACATTAAATCTTCTCCTTCACTTATCATGCTGTCTGTTGTCTTTCTGATTGTGACTTCTGAAACCAGTGCACATAATCGTGTCAGATCTTTCATCCAATTATGATTGATCGTTTCATCCAAGTGAAAGGTTTCTAATTCATGAGTGAAAAAGAATGAATGTAACGAACTGTGATTCCGTCTGTTCTATGCTGTACAGTTATTCATATATTGCATTCTTATTTAGCACCTATTATTTGTTCATTTAATCAATATCATGCTGATCCATAATAATTTTAAACATAAATAATAATATGAAACTCATCCACTCTATCCTTACTATAAACCATGTAACTCTTTTTCCTTCACTTTGTTCTATCGTTCTTCTTTTCCTGCTCATCCTATCGGTGTATCATGCGTTTACCGTGTTATTATTGGTATTTATCATTATTATTATTAGTGGATCAATAATGCAACGTATTATTGAAGAGAAAAGACGTCAACGTACTATATCTGTTGGCAGTTTAGATGGTATGGTTATAACAAGAGATAATGAATTAATAGCTGCATCGAAAATAATTAATCAAGATAAATCATTATGTGATCCTACTACAATACAAAGAATATCTGAGAATGTTACACGTAAAATTGAAGCAAAATTAAGTAATACTATTGCACCGAAATTATCAGTTGTCAATGGCGTTAATGTCAATAATAATATGAATAATAATAATACCGGTGTTGTACCTACATCAGGCGGGATGTCAACACTTGGCAGTCGAACTGGTGTAAGTAAGCTAATTTTTCATTTTTTATGGATCGTCGATGTTATATTTATTTAGTGCTTGCCGAAATGTTATTATTATCGTTGTTACTGAGAATAACGCTTGAATAATTTATCATTTCACAAATTATATGCTTTACTCATCTTTTCGTATTCATTTTCTTCTGGTAATGGTCATCATACATAATATATAAAGTAACTAAAATATTTATTTACTCATCAAATACTAGTCGTGCAATATTCAACTATGTATTGTTTCATGATTATAAAAGATTTACTGAAATCAGAAGATATTCTCAGGTTGTTAGTGTTTAGTTCTTGGTACATTTGAAGGATCTCTTGCGTATGTGGGTGAAACTAAAGAATTAGTGATTTTTTTTACAGTGGTAGATTAATAAGTAGATATAATTCACACTTTATCTTCCTCTAGATCTCAAATTCCAGTATTCTTTCATACATACTTTTCTATATTGTCTTTTCGAAATGTATTTTCAATGGTCAGTCCTTCTCAGAGGTCAGTCATTACCAAATTAGTGCCTTGAACAGATGTTCATAAGCCTAGTTTTTCATTCAATATTAGAATGGTAAATCATACGGAAATCACATGGTAGCAATAATAATATGAAGGACTAACCATTGAGAACATGGTTAGAAAAGACAGAGTAGAATGGTAGGTATGAAGCATTCTTATAGCTCAAAATCTAGGAGAAGATAAAGAGTTAATTGATGTGCACTATGATAATCAACTCTTAGAGATGCTATCCTAATTGTCCAATCACTAATCTGTTAATTCTCGGACCTCAGCCAAATATTCATCATCTGTCCAATCGCTCAGATCAACATTTAATAAATTTATGAACTGATCCCACATATTTTGTTCAATGAATTAAATGTTTGACTTCCAAATACTATGTTGCAAATTCGAACCTCCCTACATGTACTTCGGTTTGTCAAACATAATAGTATCACTAGGCTATAACACATAGAAAGTGTGCCTAATACATTCAAATGTACAAATCTGCACCTGGTAAACGAGTAGTTGAGTTCAGAGCATATGATTATATCATTTGGATATATTATTTGTTTATTTGAAAGATTAAGTTATATCACTTACTGGTTGATTTCAACTTGATAACTGTCATTTTATTCAACATAAATTGTACTTGTCTATATTATCTTCAAATTTTCATTTATTATAGATTATTATTTGTACTCATTTTATATATATTTTTAAAAAAATGCAAATTATTCATTAACAAGATAATCATGCCAAAATAGTGAGTTTTTCATTGACTTTCACGATTGTTTAGAGTGATACATAGTTGTGTATGTTTGTGTACTGCCTTTATGTCACACATGATGTATCCTGATTATCTAGATTGCATTAAGCTGTTCAAATTTGCGGTTGTTAGATAGCTACTATTAAATTGATGAAATTATTGTTATTACTTATTAATGATTAAAAACAGTTGTCAAATCGGCTTGGACCTCGTACAACTTTCTAGTAGTAATGTGTTAATCTTATAAGAATATCTGATTTACTGAACTAATCCAGATAAAACTATGTGTGACCTAAAGTTACATAGATAAATGATTCACTTACAATAATCTTCCAATCACCATGTAACTTTGCTGAGTTAGGAACAAGCTATCAACTGTATTTTAAATAAACTGATAATATTATTTATGCTTACACAAAACGGAAAACTTTACCCAAAGCCTACTACACAAACCTTTACCTTTAATAATTGAGTCGCATCATGATCATTTACAGAAATATATATCACAAATGATTGGACTAAAAAAGAAGTACATATGTCATCTATAGTTGGCAAATAGACTAATTTATTTCATATTTGATTTGTTAATGTACACGTATCGTATGAAGATTTACCATATAGATGTCACAATGGCACAGATCCATTCACTCTTTGTTTTTCTATAGTTGTAGACTTTTAAAAACACTTTATTTCATGAATTCATTCTTTTATGTTTTCTACTACCACTAGTACCGTTTACTACTACTACTGCCTTACATAGTTTATGACCTATGGATATAAATGTTTCAATATGTAGATTGTTCTTCATCCTTTGAATATACACCAAAACTGTACACTCGTCCATCTGATAAATTTTGTTCAATATCATTTTGTAGCTCATATTTTAAAGCTCATTGAATTGATCTGTATGATTTACATATATTTGATTAAATGTTTTATTACAATTGAAGTTGTATAGGACTTAATGCTTAGTTCATTCATCTTTTGATTATTTTCATAAGTTCGACTCCTACACTTGTATACCTTGTTTTGTCTGATAAAGTAGAATTGCTTGCACATAAGTATATAAACATCCATTTAATTATTGGGTTACATATAACAAATTGTGTTATATAGCCGGAACGAATTAACGAGAATTTTTGTTCAAATAAAAGCTAATACTTATTAACATTCATTGACAAAGTTTATCAAAATTTTCCAATGTTTTTCGACATTTCAATCTTATCGATTCATGATAGTAATAAACATGGGACTGTCATGATAGCTCTATGCACACTTGTAAAATAACCAAAGTGGTTGGACGTATAATTCGCTCATGGTATATTTAGTGGCTTTACTTTTTTAATAAATCACCTTGATAACTGTTATAATATAAATCTCAACAGTGTTTGAAATCAGAAGGCAATAAGACGCGGGAACTACAGCTTATTAGTGGATAGCACAAATCACAAAGCTATAAGCACATCAAGCGAATTTGAAGGAGAGAGGCGAATATTTATGTGCAAGTAAATACAGAGGCAAATTTATAGACAAATCGCACATGGGTACAGCATGGAAAAGTAAAGACTAATAATAGGATTCGAGTACATATATACGTGGGGAAGAAAATGATTCGTCAAGCGATATTTAAGCTAGGGAGAGATGTGCATAGATTGTCATATGATCCAGAGTACACGTTTATAACGATATGATAGAGATCATAATAGTACAAAGAAATATGTGAATTGTTACTGTTAGGATAACATGGTCCGTCAAGTAAGTAAATAAAAGGACTTAACCATAATCGAAATTGATCGTAGGAGAGTTGCTATAAATCGGTCCTTGAACACTAATACGTGTAGTTATCATCAGGTAAAAGAACTATTGATCAACAGACTAAACATATTATAAGAAAATCAAAATTGTAATGTGCGCACCAGAAAAGAATTCGCTCTATATAATCTGACTATCTGTAACCCATTTTATAATATATATGAAAAATCAAGAGAGGGAGATGGGTAGGCGAAATTGATGCTCAAAAATTATCAGCGATGGACCAACATACCTTTTTCATCATATCCAATGAATCCAAACCAACTTTTATCTATTATTTTGAACTAGTTCAAAATACCATCAAATAATAGTGATTTTCATCCTGTTCAGTCTAAACTCTATTTAATAGTGCTAGAAGGTTGTGTTCAACCGACAAATACAGGAAGAAATAGTGTACATTGAAGAGTGGCTCATAAAATGGATATTCAAAGAAATCTATTATGAAGAACGGAAAAATGATTAACAAACTACTGTTAACAGAAAACCTGTCTTCATCCGGCTTGCATTCAAAGGTGAAGAGATTTCAGGCAGGATCTATAAAAGGATTAAACCAGCGCTTAAGATATGTTTCCTTGCACTGCAACTATTTTCGGTTTATAGCACCATATACTACTTAAATCAATCAAAAGTGAATCAATACCTTTCTGAAGTCATCTGTAAATGTGCTTACGAATTCACATGTACTTGTGGATGCAAGTACATAGAAAGGACTGAAAATTGTGCATCAACAAGGTTTTCGGAACATATTCCCTGTAAGTTATGTATGAAAGGAAGTTAAGTTTTTCAAGTGAGACCATTAAACATTTAATGGATAGTAAACAACATGGATTTCTCAAAATCATTCAAAATAATTAACAGGTAACGTACACCAATCTGTTTTCAGAGGTCATTGCCATCAAGCGCTTCCAACCTGACCTTTGTATAGAGAAAGAGTGTGATCCTACTACTAAGAACATAGTCATCAGTACACACTACTGAGGATTTCGGAAAACGAAGATGTGACAGCTGTTTAATACTTGCTGATTTTCAACAATACTCCACTTTTGTTTTTACAAGTTTTCACCATGAATTAATTTTATAGTCCTTTTTATTCCAACTTTCCTATTCCATTTTGTAAATAAATCTCGGATTTATTTGTTGATAATATTGGTGAATAAGATTTTTTATTTTCCAACCGCTTTGCTTAGTAGTAGTTACATCCCAGTATTCATAGCAACTATATTAGTGTCTAACATTACCATTGATAAATTCCTTCTTATAATTTCCCTCCTTTTAATCAATTGATACTAAGGGACGATTTGATTCAAGTTTATACAATGAATTCTTAAAGGTATTTCAGTCGGGTTCTCCCTCTCTTTCGAACGCCATCGCGTTATCCACTTAGCTACTGAGTTCAGATAACCATTAACCTGTGAAACAGGGTGAAATTTAATTCATTTTTTAGTCTTAATATTGATGTTTTAGTACTGCAATTGACCAGTCTCTTATTGGCATACGTGCATCCCATACAGATTACCTCGATATTGCCATCAAGTTACAAGATTTGAAGCAGGGGTGGATAGTGAGTTGCAGTAGGATCTGCGACACGCGTTCCGATCTATTTGTGATTCGTCAGCTAGATGTACTTTCATCTCAGATTTAATGTTCACTCTTAGACTTGAATCCAATACCTTTCTCTTCAAACGCCATCGCATTATTCACGTGGCTACTGAGTTCAAGTAGCCACTGGTTTGTGTACAGGATTAAAATTCCAGAATTCCTCGAAAAACGCTGATATCAACAGTTTCGTCAGTTGATCAATCCCATTTAGGATAGCATACAACGTTGATTTTTAAATTTCTTTTTACGAAATTTCCCGGGGTCAATTTCAAGCACGTTATGTATATAAGTTAATTTAATACATTTCTTGTTGGGTATGTTTTTCTCTTGTATGTCCTTTATCTTATTTCTGAACCTACGATGTATTCATATAAGTTACTCAATCAAATTGTTTTTTCTATATAGTTACGTGTGAGTTTACCTCAACTTGTACAAGAATACATACAATCTCAAGTATCTCTTACCTTACAACAACAGCAGTCTAAATTGTCGTCTGTAGCGAATCTCATCAATAATAGTAGTATTAATTATGGTAATGACCAGTCAACACCAGTGGATACCTTTGTTCGTTCACCGTCAGTTATGTCGAAATTGGTAAGTTATTGAAATTGTTTTCTTCCTGCAGATTTTTCGATATTATTTACAATCATAATATTATCGTGCCTTGATTGTTTAAATTGTTTGAGAGATAAGTGAAGGGATTAAGTTTAGTTGATACACTTTTATTTTGACATATGTGTGGTGTAGCAACTTGAATTGATCCTTATTCGTACCAGATTCTACATTGATATAACTACTTAACTGACAGTGTCATTCGGTTGTCAATAAAGGTAAATATGAAAACTAAACTATTTCACAAGTATCGTCTAGACATTATTTGTGGTTCAATTATGGCTTCAACAGTGTCTTACTTTCCTTTAAAGTTCTTTTCCAGGAGTATTCGTCGTTTAATGTCATGCATAATCAATGCCTCATTATCATTTTTGTCGTCATGGTACATTTTTTTTTGTGACATAGGAACAAAGTAGCGAAAAGCCTTAGTAAGTAAAATAAAGTCTTAATACATCCATATGATGAACCCGATTAAAGACAAAATTTGCAATCCTAATTCTGCTTTTGTAATGAAAGTAGCGATTACTTTATTTCACCTGGTATGTAAACAACAATCTGCTGATTGGTGTTCATCGTTTGTTGTTTATTTTTCATTCAAACAATGAATTGTTATTTTTAAAAAGAAATAGTGTTACTTATCACTACACACATGCACAGTTTAATTAACAAACTTGTTTACTTTGTCCTTCCCTCTCTATATCTTTCTATTAGGATTGTTTCTTTTCTTCAACTAATCATAATTGAATGATAGATATCATTTAGAAACAATCAATACGGATTTCTTTACAGATTAATCTTTGTTTTTTTTTAAATGATTTGGCATCTAACGCTCATGTGTTTTTATATTTTCAGAAAAAAATTAAAATGCTTTAAATTGTCTCTTTTTTTCCTCAAAAAAAAGAGGAATATTATGTATTGCAAAACTGATCAACTTCTAGGCCTAGTCTTAATTGCTAACAGAACAATTTAGTAACTTCTTATTTTAAAAGTTTTAGCATCTGCACTAGCATGGTTGATGATGGATGGAAAATTGGTATGAATAATAACTGTTCTATCAAAATTTTTCTATATCTGACTTAGGCCCCCAAATGCTCTGGTACGGCTGAGAGTGGGGAGAGTCCGCTCACCCTCTCGAAATACTCTCACATGACCACGCGTATATAGCCCTCTCATGGCACGGGTGTTGTCTACGAAAATGACTGGACGAAAAGCGAATCCTCGGCGCTTTAACCGGATCTCAAACCAATGGTGCACATGGGCTCCAGTATCCTGCGGGAACAAATGGCGTATGAACCAATTGTTGGTCACCGGCTACCATGGGACTGCATCTCCTCACGATGCTCCACTGCGTTGTGGATCAGACCTTCAGGTCGAAGGCTTGGGGAGTGGCCCCCTAAGGAAACCACCTGCTTCGGTTTGGGCAGCCGGGTAGTATCACAGCCCTCACAGATGTCGAATTAAATTTGTGTGGCGCATATGTATTTGGTGCCTCCTTGTACCAATATCTATGTGTTAAATTAAAATAAATAAAAATAGGTAAAATGTATGTCTACCGATTAAGAGCTTATAAGTATTGAGAACTCCCTTAGGTCATACTTGTATATTTGAAACGTTGCCCACGTATCACAAAATCATGTAGTGAGTTAATGTTCTGTACAGTTTTATCCTGTTTGCATAAGACAGTAATGCACGAATTGCCATCAATGACAACTACCATATTCTAATTTGGCTAGATCCAGTAATGAGTAGGAACTCGGTAAATTTAATGGTAATGTGCTCATCAGGAAACTTAACAATCATGAGTTTTTTCCGTGATGGAGTCTTTGGTGCTCGATCATTCTGAAGAATTTTAAAATCAATATTCAATGCTCTCTAGTTCGTCTAGTAGTTGTCTATCTGAAACCAACTTTAACTAACATACCTAGAATTTTTGTTGTTGATACTATTCAGTATTGTAACTTTTGCCAATTCAACTCAAACTTTTGCTATTTGCCTGGAGTGCACTTTTTTGGAATGTTCGTCACAATTAATATTGACTTGTTATGTAATGAAAGTACTATTATCAAAATTATATATATATGCATCATTTGTACAAATGTATGAACTAATTCTGTCCAAAGACTAGATATTTTTCTGCTAATAATCTATACAGAGAGAAATGAAAATAATTCCTTATTATCATTATACACATCGGTCAAGGTTAAAATTTTGGTATAACTATTCTTTTCATCATACACATATATCTATGTATTTAAATTATATTAATAACCAGCACATTCATTCGATGTAGTGTATTTTAAATATTCAATTTATGGTGACCTTTTATGATAAACATTCACATTTTATTCCATTTCATTTAAAAACTAGGTGTTGGAAAAATGATTTTGTTTATCACTTGTATGTGTATTAATTAGAAACCAATGAATTACTGATTAGTTTTCTCGACCCATAAACATTGAAGTCTCATGTTCAAAATCCACTCCATCCATCTATCAGTCTTGGTAGTCAGTTAGCTGTAAACGTAGAACCAGGCACATATATGCATCGGTTCAAGTTGCCACACCTCATTAGCACAAGATGACTACCAAATTCATAGAAGTAGTTACTTCAATAGTGGTAATATATAAAAGATTCTGTATAAGGATATAATACAAAAAAAAGAATTAGTTCGTAGAAATAAAGGCTTAAAACTATTTTAATCTCACGTTTAAAGGGCAGACAAAGAGTGTGGTCTGAATTAGATCAGTTTGTGATTTAAAAACTATGGAAACAAACTATTTATCCTTTTTAGTTAGTCAACAATATTTTAATGATTGAAGAGAATCCTAAGTTATTGATGTTTCAAGAAAGAAGTATGCCTAACAATTAAGTCTGAATTAATTGAGTGAAATGATTGACCTACGAAACTCTTATTATTCAATTGCTTATGAAGACATTTAATCATGCTTAATTATGTATCTAATATTTTGTACACATGAATGTTATTATGTTTAAGAAGAAATTCATTCTTCTACCTAGAACGCACGTTAACAACAAGTCGATTTTGTGAATAGTTATTGAATCATTTAGGTGCCGGGGATTCTGTTCAATAAGTTTGCAAAACTGGTTCGGTTCCAAGTCATTAAACATGTGCCCCCACGGTAACTAGTAGTAAGTGGTAGATATAAAGGATTCTTAGTTACTAAATGCCTTAGTACGATGGAAGGTGGAGGGTCCTTTACCCCTCGAAGTGCTCGTATGGTCTCTGGTTTATAGACTCTTCCATGGAAGTCCTACTCACTGTCTGCATGTGGTAACGATGGTGTATTTACATAAACTAGATTGACGTAAGGTGGATACACAAGGTCCACCTAGTGGAGTTGAAGTCTATTATCCTTCAACTCAATAGTTCATCTTGTAACTGTTGCTTATATCTCTAAATTATTACTTGTTCTCAGTACGTCATATTTATTTGATTTGACATTTAGTATATAAGTAATAGTAATAAATCTCTCTAACAGTCACTGGGACCATTGACTGAATCCCTTGAAATCCACTCTGTTGGTTCATGTGTCCTGGAAAACCCTTTCCAGTTGCTATTCATCCTTTTTATGTCTTCTTCCAATTCTTAGTGCCGTGTGTTCTTCGGCCTTCCTCTTTTCTTTTTCCCTTCAAAATATAACTACTGTCTGTCAGCTGTCTTCCATTCACCACATTGCAGTGTAGTCCGTCCTATGAGTCCCAGATGATACTGATAATTTACTCAGGTACACTATAATATCAAAGAAGGTTTAACATGGTTCTCCTATTCACACTGTCAAACACCTCATGGACAAGGAATGTGCTGTATAGCGATGAGTTCCATTCAGTTGATTGTTCAACAACGATCCATAGTGTCGCTATTCAGTCTGTGTGCGACCGATCTTTACGGAATCCAGTCTGTTTATCTCGAAAAGGAGCGTCTACCGAATCTTCCATCCAGTTCCGCAACACTGTTGAAAGGTTTTCTTCGTACTGACAGTAGTGTGAGACTTCTGTAGTTTACACATTTGCTCAGGTCTCTATTTTTTAGTATCATGTTGAGGTATCCCTCTTTGCAGTCTATCGGAACTTGTTCCTCCTCCCAAATCTTCCTGAATAGAATATGGAGCATGTTTGCAGTTGCAGTTGTTAGGTCCTAATGTGGGCTCTTCGATACGATCGATTGCAGCCTCCCGTATTGGATGCGTTGCTATCATTGGTGAGTGCATAACACTGGATAACATTCATTGTGATCCCCTCCTTTGTTTTGCATAATGCTTTGATGATTCTGGGTCCATGAGATTTTCATCTTATAAAGGCTTAACGTGCTCGTTTGGACAGGATCAGCGGAACCCCGTGAGTGTGTGGCGCATTTTCTTCTTCGTGGTCTGATTTGCTTGATTGCTATTACGAGTTCACCTTACTCGGTAAACGGAACGAAGGTTATTCTAATCCGTTGTCCCCGGCCCTGCTAACTAGATCAAGAAGACTTGATGAGGCGTAGAGAATGTATTCTACAATCACCCAGAAAATACGAGGTTATCATGCACACAAATCAAGCTTATTTATACAATGATAGAAACTCCCGTGGGAGAGCCAAAAAATAGCGTAATAAGAAATCCGTCAACCAATGACAATAATGGATTTCCGAGTGCGAACTGTAAGCTGTAGGTCAACCGAGCGTCTCTTGGCGTGAAAACATAAAATTCAAATTTTCGGAATAAAATTACAAAATTAGGACCTTTTCCAAGTGAGTTCTGGGGATATAACGTCCTCAACATGCTAGGAATACAACGTCGAGCTTGGATCCAATGGATTTCGCTTATTCGGAGCACGGTCAAATTGTATACGCTCATTTCCATAGCTGTTTGATTAGTCCTCTTGGTATCCCACATGATGCGGACATTACATGTTCGTATATTAATTGTTGCTGTGGTTGTTAGAAGGGTTATCGGCCTCGTGTCTTCGAAGAATCTCGGCTTTCACCACGAGGTGTCTTAGTTCTTCTGAATGAAGATCTTTCAACTTATATTGTCAGAGTTTAAATGGTTTAAATTGTTTATTTGGGTTAGCTTTGTTTTAGTAATGTTGTTTTCTACGGAATTGTGGTTACTGAACCCATGTCCAACCCTCCTCCTTTACCTGGTCTTTGGGCCAACAGTAACCCTAAAACTGCTACAGGTGGAGCTTAATATTAATTATGTATGTAATATTAAACTCTTATTCAAAATAACCTTCAAACTACATCTCTATCTGCTCAATATCAATATTTAATTAAAATCTAAACATATTAACAAACAGACAGTAGAATGTGATAAATCATCAACTCTAATACTTACTTACTTACTTACTTACTTACTTACTTACTTACTTACTTACTTACTTACTTACTTACTTACTTACTTACTTACTTACTTACTTACTTACTTACTTACTTACTTACTTACTTACTTACTTACTTACTTACTTACTTACTTACTTACTTACTTACTTACTTACTTACTTACTTACTTACTTACTTACTTACTTACTTACTTACTTACTTACTTACTTACTTACTTACTTACTTACTTACTTACTTACTTACTTACTTACTTACTTACTTACTTACTTACTTACTTACTTACTTACTTACTTACTTACTTACTTACTTACTTACTTACTTACTTACTTACTTACTTACTTACTTACTTACTTACTTACTTACTTACTTACTTACTTACTTACTTACTTACTTACTTACTTACTTACTTACTTACTTACTTACTTACTTACTTACTTACTTACTTACTTACTTACTTACTTACTTACTTACTTACTTACTTACTTACTTACTTACTTACTTACTTACTTACTTACTTACTTACTTACTTACTTACTTACTTACTTACTTACTTACTTACTTACTTACTTACTTACTTACTGACTTACTTACTTACTTACTTACTTACTTACTTACTTACTTACTTACTTACTTACTTACTTACTTACTTACTTACTTACTTACTTACTTACTTACTTACTTACTTACTTACTTACTTACTTACTTACTTACTTACTTACTTACTTACTTACTTACTTACTTACTTACTTACTTACTTACTTACTTACTTACTTACTTACTTACTTACTTACTTACTTACTTACTTACTTACTTACTTACTTACTTACTTACTTACTTACTTACTTACTTACTTACTTACTTACTTACTTACTTACTTACTTACTTACTTACTTACTTACTTACTTACTTACTTACTTACTTACTTACTTACTTACTTACTTACTTACTTACTTACTTACTTACTTACTTACTTACTTACTTACTTACTTACTTACTTACTTACTTACTTACTTACTTACTTACTTACTTACTTACTTACTTACTTACTTACTTACTTACTTACTTACTTACTTACTTACTTACTTACTTACTTACTTACTTACTTACTTACTTACTTACTTACTTACTTACTTACTTACTTACTTACTTACTTACTTACTTACTTACTTACTTACTACGTAGTCCTTCATCCTGTTAAACAATACCCTGTTGAAGACTTTTCCCGGTATTGAGAGAAGAGTGATGCCTCTGTAGTTATCACACTTGCCGAAATCGCCTTTCTTCGGTATTTTGATCAGGAGTCCATCTTTACAGTCTGTTGGTACTTGTTCCTTATCCCAAATCTTATCGAAGAGAATGTGGAGTATCCTTGCAGTTACCGCTACGTCTGCTTTTAGTGCCTTTGCTGGAATGTTGTCTGGTCCTGCTGCTTTGCCACTCTTGATTTGCCTGATGGCCATGCTGATTTCTTCAATTGTTAGTGGGCCAACATTGATTGGGAGATCCGTGGGTGTTGCTTCGATGTTGGGTGGGTTCAGTGGAGCTGATCGATTGAAGAGTTCTTTGAAGTGTTCTACCCACCTGTTTTGTTGCTCTTCAATGTTGCTGATTACCTCGCCTTCCTTATTTTTCACTGGTCGTTCTGGTTTGCGGCGATTTCCAGAGAGTCTCTTTGTCGTGTCATACAGTTGTCTCATGTTTCCTTCTCTTGCAGCCTTTTCCGCCGTCATTGCTAGATCCTCCACATATTTACGTTTGTCGGTTCTGATGCTCCTCTCCACTTGCTTGTTTACTTCTGTGTATTCAGCTTGTGCCTTGGCTTTTTCTGCTCTTGGCCAGCTGGTATTGATTTCTGCCTTCGTGTTCCTCCTTTCTTGAATAATATCCAGTGTATCAACAGTGATCCGTTCCTTGTGATGGTGCTTCTTGTGGCCCAGAACCTCATGACATGTTGAAGTGATTGCCTCTTTGATCCGCTTCCAGTTGCTCTCCACAGCAGTTCTTTCTCCATTGAGTAGATCATGAAAGGCCTGGAACTTGTTGCTGAAGACTATCTTGAATTCGTTGAGTTTGTCAGTATCCAGAAGAAAGGCCGTATTGAACTTTTGTGATGTTGTCCGCCCCATTGTCCAGTGCTTCTTGAGTTTCAATTTCAACTTGGCGATCAGCAAGTGATGATCTGATGCTATATCAGATCATCTCTTGGTTCGCACGTCCTCCTGAAATTTTTGTTGATGCAGATATGGTCGATTTGGTTTTGTGTAGTGTGATTTGGCGAAATCCATGTGGTTTTGTGAATGCGTTTATGTTTGAATATGGTGCCGCTTATGACCAGTTTATTGAGGGCACATAGGTTTGCAAACCTCTCACCATTTTCGTTCCTTTCTCCCAGTCCGTGTCGTCCCATGATGTCTTCATATCCAGTGTTGTCCGTTCCAACCTTGGCATTCAAATCTCCCATCAGAATGGTCAGGTCCTTTGTTGGGCACTTCTCGATGATTGATTGCAGCCTATCGTAGAATTGATATTGAGCATCATCATTGTAGTCGTTGGTAGGCGCATAGCATTGGATGATGTTCATTGAAATGCCCTCTTTCTTTGTTTTGAACGAGGCTTTGATGATCCTTGGTCCACGAGATTTCCATCCTGTAAGTGCCTTTTGTGATTGTTTGGATAGCATCAGTGCAACTCTTTGTGTATGTGGAGCATTTTCTTCCTCATGGCCGGAGTATGACAGGACTCTTCTGAAGTTAGTCGTTGTTTTCCACATTGCGTCCAATGTGTTTCACTGATCCCAAGCACCTCTAGGTTGTATCTCCTCATTTAGGTAGCAATTTGGAAGGCTGACCCGGTGTCCCACATTGTACAAACATTCCATGTACCTAAATAAATGGTTGCTCTGGTTGTTGGAAGGGGCATCGACCTCGTAACTTCCGAAGGAGCTCGACTTTCATCATGAGGCGTCATAGTTCTTCTAAATGAAGACCTTGTGACTCCAAGGGCAGAGTTTAAAAGGTTTGAATAATTTTTTCTGGTTAGCGTTTTTTTGGCGAGTTGTTTTCTGCGGGATGGGGACGCTAACCCTATACCCAACCTCCCTCCTTTATCCGGGCTTGGGACCGGTAGTAGCCCCCGGAGGGACTCCTGGTGGAGTTCAACTCTAATACAGAGTATACTTATTCTTTATCTTACTTGAAAGTGTTATTTTTATATTACTTTAAAGCTGAAGCATCCGAATCACGTTCACTATCAGTTCAATGATAATCTGGTATGGAGTTTACATTTAGTGTTGTTTATAATCGACTAAGTTGAGTATGTGTATACCGTTTCTTTTTTAATACAGATAATTAAATGAAATGAAATTCTCGTTCTTGATAATTTTGATAGATTTTTTTTCGTACGTTTACTGTCATCTCACTTTTCTATTTGTATACGTGGTTTTCAATTTCTGGAATTCTTGAAAGGTGTACACATATATTTCTTTTAATGATAATCAAACATACTGTTCTCTTCTTTTCGTGATAAAACACTTTACACAGGGTTTTAACTTTCCTCTTTGCTTATGTTTGGCACTGCAGTTGACCAGTCTCTGTTGTCATATGTATATCTCTATCGGATTGTCTCGATATAAACTTTTGTCACTAGTTTTAATAATATTTACCCTTTGGCTAGAATTGAAATCTAATACACGTGTTTTGTCCTATGTTGGGCTCGTCAGATGGATGCACCTGCATGTAGTTGGTGTTGATGTTCATACTGTAGACTGAACTTCATCGCCTTAAACGCCAGTGCTTTATTCATTGAGGTAATGTGTGCAGATACCCACCAACGTTAGTAAGTGTTAGTACGTGAAAGTACAAACTGAAATATACTGTTAAAATTGTTTAGAATTTGTCTTATTCCGCATGAGAAAGCAAATAAAAATGGTGTTATTTTAAATCTTAATGATGTCCTGTTGTGTATTTGTATGCATACAGAGTGCCGTGAATATTCCCAATTATGATACTGCCACTGTTCAATTGGCATCTGGAGAAAATCCAGTGTATTTAGATGGTGGTGGATTCACAGGATCTAGAAATGTGCCCATACCTTCTGATAATAATCAAATGATTTCTGTCAATACATCGAATTCAACGGCTTTTCTAAGCGGTACTACTAACCCACCACTACCATCAACAACAGGACGTGATCCCGCTCAAACAAGGATACATCCGATTCGTTCTGTTTCTGAGGTTTGTTTTTTATTTGTTTGCTTAACCAGATGTTTTATTGTTTTTCTTATTGTTTCTCAAAAAAAACCCAAATGAGTTCATTGAAATCTATTTTTCAAAATTTTACATCTATCAATCTTAACCCCTTTCACAATACTTCACATTTGTAGCAATAAACTTGTTCCGTTTTTGTGGAATATCCTCATTACTCAGGTTGTTTGACTGGCTTGTTTCATGTTATGTAGTGTAAATTGAATTGGTGTCGGGCTCGTAGAATGATTTTTCAGTACTTTACTGATTTTGATATGATATCATCAACTTTGGCAGAAATGTCACACATTGTTTAACACGCTCAAATATTTTTATTTCAAATAACGTGCACAGACTTTTATAACTTTAGTGAACTCATTGAATCAAAAATCACCTAGTCAGTGAATCAGGAGGCAAAAAGAATTTAAGACCTGACATATTCAGTGTTTTTGCTGACAGAGAAAGACTATGGTAATCCATATTTAAACAAATTCATTGATTCAGTTCGGATTTTCATTAGAGAGTGTAATAATGTTTCATCTTTCATAAAGTTCATTTTCTTCAGTGCTTGATATCACCAATTGGATTGATAAAAGTCCTAAAAACATGGAGCAGATGTTCTATTTCCTCTGGAATAGTCAATTTAAGTAGTTCATACGTGATTGAATTTAAAATCTCCCAATTCTGGCAATTGAATTTCAAATATAGAGACGAAAAAAAAGAAAAAAAATGACCTTAAGATAATTTTCACGCCTTTTATTCAATCGAAAAATACGTTTTATGAAAAAGGGACTTTCTGTGCAAAATGAAATAAATCGTAACGTAATATTAACTCTTCGGTCTACCGACTAGTTCTTTTGTCTTGAATTCAGTAATAAATATCATCCTAATCATTAAATGTGTGCTTTCTTGAGGATAAATAAACATCTAGCGGAAATTAATCGTCAGTACTTAAAATTTTAAATTATACATTACACTTCCTTTGCTCTATCAGTTAATGTCTGTTTTCTTTTCATTTATTATGAATAATATTGTTTTACATTTTAGACTGTTAGTTTAAAACGTACTACATCCGAGGCTAGTTTAACTTCTCATTTTACATCAATCGGTGTTGTAGATCCGCATAATAATAATAGTAATAATGCTGGCGCTGACTTATTAGATGATGAAATGAAAGCTGATATTCAATTACTTATTCGTAAAGAAATGTCAAGACCACAATATAAAAAAGATTTCTTTTATATTGGTCCAGTTCGTCAAGTTGTTGACTCATCAGCGTTATCATCAAAACAATTACCAATCAATCATAAATTTAGTATTAATTTACCAATATTACCAGCGACAGTTGTAGATAATCGACCGAATCGTTCATCAACTACAGCATTTCGTTTACCGTCAACGATTATACATCCGGATGTTAAACAACAACCAGAGGTGTGTTTATCTATTTATGTTGTGTATTTTATTAAAGATATTTTCATTGAATTTGTGATATAGGTAGTAATAGGTGATCATATGATAGTAATATATGACCACAGAAATTTCTAAACATATTCATTTTGTATTTGTTATATGTTGAAGTGCATAATTTCTAATCATTATTTATTGACAAAATATTTGTACAAACAAAAAAACCATTTAATAATTGAGTTCATGAGTCAATTAAAATTATTTTTTAATTGACAAATTAGTTAATAAGAACGTTTATTAATTATATTCTCTATGATAGTGTATCGTTTGTTTTATTAAGACCAATGTCTATTTTTGTAGTTTAAATCACGAATCGATTTTAGTTGATCCATCTCTTTAAACCAGGAAGCACTGGACAGTTGTTTCGTTTTTGTATGAGACTTCTCGGTAGTGTACATTCACGACTGCATCACAGGGACTATGATCCAGGACCCTCAGTTTGGCGAGCTAATGCTTATTCTCTTCAAAGGTGTAGATGTCAAACTTCAGTCAGTCTATGATATTTCGCAACAATGTTATATTTGCTATATTGTTTGCTTATCTAATGTCAGATTGTAAAATCTCTCTCTCTCCCTCTGTGTGTGTGTGTGAATAAACACACTACAGCAGGTTGTCACTCTAATTTAGGAATCATTGTACAATAGTGTTATCGAACATACGGTGGTTGAACATCCTATTGAAAACAGCCAATATATATGTGATTGGATCAAACATCAATATACATAGTATTCATTACATCACTATAAATAAAATTATCCAACTCGATGATTTCTAGGAATACAGTACATATTCATCATGAAATGTGATTAAAATTGATATGATTTTGTATTGTCCTGTTGTGGGATGTCAATAACAAAAAAATTGAATAACTTGACGATGGGCTTTCAATTGTCATATCTATTCATTTACTCATCTAAATAGAAAAAAAAAGTAATCACATAATCAAAATATTATGGAAACATAAAACAATATGACCATATTTTAGACATTCACAGTTATATATCATGTCAAAGGTTATCATTTGTTTAGATAAAAACTTCGTGAAACATTTATATATATATATATATATATATATATATAATATACCCTTGTGGGCCAGGGTAATTTTACATTGGTTTTCAGGAAAACCAGACACCATCCGAACCTTCACGTAAAAACCCAAACAGTACAGCTCAACCCCGTTTAGCAGGGGAACCAGACACCGTACAGGCTTTAACGCTACAATCTGAATAGTACAGCTCAATCCCGTGGCGCAACCACACAGGTACCAAGAACCCTGGTGGACCATTCGCACCATTCATATACACATTAACATTACATGTATAGTTATTCCGATCAATGATCGCGTGAATCAATTATGCACAGCACGAACAGGCCAAAGTTGACCTATTCCGCTTACACGACAGTCAAACGCATTAATGTTAGCAATGGCGGCATGCCTAACAATGTCCCAATGACAATGGCCCTCGGGAACACTGAAAAGCAACCACCAGTATGAATGAAATCATTTAACCAGCAAACCAATTTTTGTATGAACAGTCAGCAAAACTTGCCAAAGCAATGCCGAATTGTCCACAATAACAATGGCGAACCTCCAGCCTCATATGAGACCTTCAGCTCTATATAGCCATATAGCTTATACTGCATACAACACATGTATAGGGTAGTAAGCGAAATAGCCAAGCCTGAAGCGTTAGGGCTTAAATAACGCTTAAAACCCATTGTCTGATGTCGAAATACTATAACTAGACCACCAAGATCATTTTTATCGCATTTGCGAAATTTTCATTTTTTTCGACTTTTCAGACCCTGAGTTAGGGGTATCCCTATATATATATATATATATATATATATATATATATATATATATATATATATATATATATATATATATATATATATATATATATATATATATATATATATATATATATATATATATAAAATTTATTATTCGTATATATTGGAATGCAGACAGTTATAATTTCACTTAATCTATGCTTTCGACATTTTTCTAAAATAAAAAATAAATAAAAGGTAACTGCATTCATGTTTTAATAAGATAAAAATTTGACACAAATAATCCATGTATTAATGATGAATATTGAATTCACATATCATTTATTCATTGGTAATATACACACGTTGAATTATAGATTTTTGTATTATAATTAAAATTTTTTTTTAAAATGTAGTTGTCTTGTAGTCAAAAGTCATTTAATTTCTTATCCTTTACGGTAAATGTTCACTACCGGGTTAGTATGTGCTCTTAACGATTTGCAAACATGACTGCATAGGTTAAGGGATAGCTACTTAAGACCCATCATATACTGCCAAGATATGATGTACTAATTTCAGGCTCGGGCCTTTTTGAACCTTTTGTTGTGGGTGAGTATCATCGTTATAAATGTTTTTTGTTTTGGCGAAAAACTATACTAGCATCATATCCTAGTGCAGTTGACAGTACACTTTTGCCTTCGAATCTCACTTTGATTAGTTTTAGTTTTATCACTTTCTAACCCATTTTTTTTGCAGGACCTATTCAAATAAGCTCGGTTGGGGCATCTCAATATGCAAACCTGAACACTACACAAAAGTATTAGTTATTATTTACAGGGCACCCACATCTTATTTAGGTCTTTAAATGAGATACAATATCGCTAACCCCTTTAAACGTAGTACACATTGATCCGAACGAATTGGTAGATATTTTGTTATCTAATTATTTTTCTATTATTCAGAAAAAGTATACACTTTGTAGATAAGGTATTTCTACTATTCTATTCTATTCAACACATAGCTGATTAGTCAAATAAATATAAAGAAACTCATATTTTATGGCATTTTTTAAAATAATAATGATACTACCACACCGTTACGGTAAATTCTTTTACTTCAGATAATGTTATCAAAACTATCATTATATCATGTCTATTGAATAAAGGGACAAGGTAATATATGGAAAAATGGAACACAACCGACAGAAATCAAAATAGTTAGAGAAGAAAAGCATTGAAAGCTTTATTCATATAGAAAATGTCAATTAATGATATGTGATAGTTTAGAATTCAGTCAGTCAGTCAGTAACAACGTAGAACTTCGTACGTACGTACATCAGTTCGAGTTGCCATACCACATTAGCACAGAGATGCCGTTTAGAATTAGAATTTGGAATGTAATATTTCTTATGTCCACAACAAATAAGTGTTACTTCATCAACTAATTCATATTTAATTATATCACTTTCGAATGACCAAGCAAAAGTTTTATCTGTTTTATAAATGAAAACAAAAAAAATTCTTTAGTTCTCTCTCCAACACGTTTATACCATTCAATACTGTAATCAAGTGGCTTGAATTCATATGTTCCTTGTATTTACAAGTTTCATTTGATTACTTTATCCCATAGGACATTTAGAAATTGACCTAATTCTGTCATTTTAGTAATGAAAGAAATTAAAGATTTACTAAGATAAAACAACTGTTTAGTACTTTCTGAATTATTACACTGTCAATTGATGTCAGATTTTTACTAGCTATAATTAAACATTCATAACATTATTATCTGTATATATCGTAAAACTGAATAATGCTCGTCGTAAGATGTATATATATCGACTACTAACTGATAAGCGACTGAACTAACGCTTAAATGTAGTTCATAGTCTGTTGTTTTACTTTATTTTATCCAGATACATCAAAACATATGATTGTTCTGCATAGCATATAATCACTATGATAAAAATAACTTTTAATTTCTTCTTTTCTTTTTCTTTTTAGCATTGTAGTCAGACAAATTTAAGTATTGCTAATTCAAGTAATTTGTTTACTAATCAATTTATCCCACCAGCTCCATGCCCATCTATTCCGCTAAACAATCAACAATCTATTGTACATAATGTTCCTTTGAGTGGCCTACCTCAACTCTCTATTCCATTGGTAAGTGTATAAATGCTCAAATATGATGTTGTGGAGGCATTGATTAAGGCGTTCGGCTTTTCACCCCCTAAATCGCAGATTTGAACCCAGGTCTGCTTACATCACTTTGTGCAACCGACTGGTATCACTACTCCTTAAAGTTATTGTGTGTCGAAACAAATACATGAATCGGAACATGGTGACAAGTATACTGAGCCAATCAGAAGTAACCAAATGAGGTCACTTGATGACAATCGGAAATGACCTAGAGGATAACTACATTTTATGTTGAAGTTACTGATAATTTTAAATTGTTCACTTCAAGTTGAGCACACTTTTAATGTTAGAACTGAAATTATCTAAATATACACGTTTCGCTTTCTGAGTATTTAATCAACTATTAACACATATACATATTCATTAATATCAGTTTATATTTTCTCTGTTTTACAAACTCCAATTAGGGTAGCAATATAAATCAGCATGGAGCAAATATAAATTCAGATAGAATTGATTCTATAGGATACGTAAATAATACAGAGAATTTAGAAAGTTCTGCAGCTCCTGTATCTAATCAACTTGGTCTTAGTGAAAAGATTGACTATGATGGAAGCACAATAACCAATGCTGGTTTACAACGTCAACAACTACAAGAAGAACTCATAGATTACGGAGTGGATATTGGTGATGATGGTGATGTTGGTGTTGTTGAATTAGGATTAGACGATATTGATATTGAAGAAGAGGATGATAATCGTGATACAATTCTGATTAATGATGACGAGGAAGCTGTCTATACACGTTGTCCAAAATGTTTTGATAATTGTATCAGATTATTTGGTAGTGCACTATTCTGTTGTTCGACATATAGTCCAATTGGTATATTTATGCAAGATTTATTATCACCGAAATTGTTGTCCAATATTACATTCTTATTTTTTCTTTTCTCAAGTATGATGGCTATGCTTGGTAAGTGATAAAATTGGACTAATCAGTTTTATTTGATTTTAGATATATTTATTTGTTTGAACACATTAATGTTAATAAGAAGGTGCACCGAATACATATGCGCCACACAAGTCACTTGATTTGTGTGTGGGCTATGATAATGCCGGGGCGCCTAGACCAAAGCAGGTGATTTTCTTAGGGGGCCGCACCCGGAGCCTTCAACCTACAGGTCTGATCCGCAAGGCAGTGGAGCGACATCAGGATATATGCCAATGGTCATAGATTGGTTCATATGCTTTTTTTTCCTTCAAGATCCTGGAGCTCAAGTGTACCTTTGGTTTGCAATTAGGGTTTTCCAACTCCCCTAGATGGATCCTCCATATCCACCGATCCGATTAAAGCGTCGAACATTCGCTTTCCGTCCTCTCGATTTCGTAATTAACACCCCTGCCTCAATAATGCTTTGAGTAGGACTTCCCTGGCAGTGGCTGTATATGAGAGCATCTCGAGAGGGAGAGCTGACTCTCCTCACCCTCGGCCGTACCAGGGCATTTGAGGACTCTACAATAATTCAGAAACGTCTCTTTCTGTACATGAGATTTCCCTATAGTTAACATTAACAATCCAAATACAAATAGAAACCAACACTCTTGGATTTTGTATCGAACATGTTATCTATATAGGATCATGTTACCATTCAGTTCTGTTCACGTTTGTCACTTGAATTAGTTTGCCAGTAAATTGAACCTGACGATGACATTAGTTCATTTTGTGTTTGTTTGTATCTTCCCATTAATATTAAGCACTGTAATTCATCAGTGTTATTGGCATATGTGCATATTGCCTCGATATTACCTTAAGTCACAAGCAGGTACATCCAACTGACGAGTCCCAAATTGAATGAAACGCGCATCCTTGATTCCACTGCTAGCCGTCATCCATCTTTGCTTACAATAATATTAATCTTTTATAGCTCAGTGTAAATGTTTGCATATATTTCCTAAAAGCTGGTGTTCCATGTAGTGTTTTGGCTCCATGAAAGAGCTAAGCCAGTTGTCAATATAAACTGAAATGTAGTGATTTTAATTACAATTGATTGATCACTGGGTAGTGATCAATTTTTTGCTTGGCTCAGTGGTAACGTCTCTGACTGTGAAGCTGGGTGACACGAGATCGAATCCGCCAGGGAGCACCAGTTCCCTCAAGATTACAGGTACACCTTGCTGACGAGTGCCAAGTAGCACGAAACCCGGGTCCAGGGTTTCCTGTTGACTACCTCCAACCACCATCTAAATGTAGTGATTTTCTCCAATTTGATTGATCTGAGAGTGGATAATTTAGAATAGTTGATCATTTTCCAATGTTATGATTGATTCAATTCTAGCAATCCAATATAGGATTTACTTTTATTAAGGAGTTCGGTGCAAATAAAAATAATGTTTGCTTCACTCAAATTGTTCCACCGATATATTTAGTTTACTATTTATTTCTAAATGGTTGATTCACTGATCAAATGTTAACTTGTTATTGGCTTATTATTCCGTAACCATATTTTTTCTTGATAAGTCTTTTATGCCCATAGAAATAATATTCACATTGATCGGTTCAAATGTTCAATTTCAACTATGTCCTTAGTTGACACAGTTAATTTTTATAAATATAATTGTTAATTTCCTTTTCAGTCAGCAGGTTTTTCATGATTCACATAGAATTTGTTTATCTAATTTCAATAAAATTCTGAATTAATTATATTATCTTTAAGTGTCATTAAATAATTTCCTATTTTTGGTAAGCAACTAGTAGTTTGTCATTTTCAAGACTTTAGTAAAGTAGGCTGACTCTTATATTTATTGTGTTTTGTGTATCGTAACGGTACTTTTGGTTTCATATTACCTGGGCAAGTAAGTGTATGGAATCATTCAATGAAAAGATTTGAGCATAACTTCTCTTATGGATATACCTTTAATGATGTATAATACTACTAGCTAAAGAGAAACCTAATTCCCGATCTTCCTACTAATTGAAGGCCTAAAGTTTACAACAAATCAAATACAGTGAGCTACAGTTCTATATAGAATTTTAAGTTATCTATTCAAAATTGTTAGTTTCTTAAAAATCACTGTTTACATATTCGGTTGTTGCACAACACTGCTATGTTATTTCAAGTTCACATTCTTGTTATTAGATTGATCACTAGCAATACTTCTTAAAAGTTTTTCCATTGAAACACACGTAATCGTTTCAAATAAATAAATAACAATTGAAATGAGTTAGAACTGCATTTTTATTATTGTAACTTCGATACAGATCAGATTTTTAACGTCTTGAGGACTCAAATTTCGTTGAAACAATTTCAAAAATGCATAGGAAATCTGTAAATTGAATTCCAGATCATATTGACAATTTTATCAGGCACACCATGATATCGAAGACGATTTCATAAGGTTCTCCTATGCACACTGTCAAACACCTCATGGACAAGGAATGTGCTGTATAGCGATGAGTTCCATTCAATTGACTGCTCAACAATGTTCCATAGTGTCGCTATTCAGTTTGTGCGCGACTGATCCTTACGAAATCCAGTCTGTTGATCTCGAAGCTGAGCGTCTACTGAACCTATCATCCGGTTCCGCAACACTCTGTTGTAAAGTTTTCCTTGTACCGATAGTGATGTGATGCCTTCGTAGTTTACACATTTGCTCAGGTTGGCTTTCTTTGGTATCTTGACGAGGTATCTTTGTTTCCAGCCTATTGGGACTTGTTCCTCCTCCCAAATATTCCCAAATATAATGTGGATAATGTTTGCAGTTGCTTGTATGTATGACTTGAGTGCTTCGGCTGGTATATTATCAGGTGCTACTGCTTACCCTTTTCTTGGTTTATCTGAGTACCTCTTACTTGCAATCCGAGAAATCATCATCTGGTCACTAGTGAACAAATGATCAAGAGGTTTATTTCTAGAAAATACTGGATTATTTTACATTCAAAAGTCGTCGTTTATATTCTCTGAGTAATCATTTAATTGATATATATAACATTCCTTACTCTCTTTAGGATTAATAATCCTAATTTCAATGTACTTCTCTATCTGAAAATTAATTTTCATAGTTATTTTTCATTTTCTTTTTTGTAAAGAGTTTTTGTTCTTTTTGGTTTTTTAATCCTCCCATTGAAATAATCTCAGAGATCAATATACAAGCTTACTTACAGTCGAATAGTTACACATACGTTTGTGATTAATGTTCTTAGCAAACTAGACAGATTACACCATGTTTCACGATACATGAGATGTCAACTGTGATCAGGCTATTTCGAAAAAGTTTACTGTTCACGTAACCATTGTTACCTACCACCACCTATATAGCTGATCGCTAGTATGTAAGTACGCACAATTTGTAGCGATTGTAATATTCAAAGTTTTGGACATTATGGCCCTCCTCCTACTCCTCTTCTGCTGAATTTGCTTTATTATTTATGCATAGAGAAATTAACTAGAACTGACCAAAGATCATATAAATAATCGAAATATTTATTTGTTGTTACTTGAACTCGTTTTTTGGTTTTTTTCCCCTTTCAGGATTGGTTGTCCCTTTCTTAATGTTACCTGATCTGTTAGCAGAAGTGAATTGGAAACTTGAGGATTCTGGTTTTATCATTTCGTCAATTGGTGCAGGAAATACATTTGGACGTTTATTTGCCAGTAAGTATTTTTCTTTCAATTCAACTAGTCTATGTACTGAACGTTTATTATTATTATTTATCAATCCAATTTCTTGTTACCTTTTTCACCATCACATCTGCTAATAAGAAAATCAATAAATTCCAACTATCCGTTTTTCAATATAACCACAAAACTAATTAACTGACTCAGTTATAGTTTGGATAAGATATACTGTCTAATTTTCAACAGATAAACTTTTTAGCGTAAGCATTTAAAAGGTGAATATGTGTAAGTTTTTGGGTTGTATACCAATTGCAACCATCAGTATATGGTATATTTTTGCCAGTAATCGATCAACAGTTAGGCATTTAATCGTTTATATTCCTTAAGGTCAAGTGTAGCAGTCTTCATAGCAAAGTGATAACTTCAATTTCCGAGAATGAGTTGTTGTGAATATTATACTTTAGTTAGTTGAATATGCATTAACATTATGCTGATGAAGAATGATTAAGTAAGTACAAGCTATTTCGGTTCATACTGAGTATTTTGTTCGACTGTATTTTCGATAAATTATTTCTAATGTCACAGTTGTTTTGTTAGAATCAATTAGAGTCGAAATTTAACATCTATGTTTATCATTTATTATTCTACAGTGTTCTGTGATATATATATATATATATATATATATATATATATATATATATATATATATATATATATATATATATCGACTAAATATTGATGTATCTGTTCATTTTGATGCTACATTGTTTGTGTTTGGATATCACTTTATTTATTGCCCTCAAATGCCCTGGTATGGCCGAGAGTGGGGTGAGTCCGCTCTCCCTCTCGAAATGCTCTCACATGGCCACGCGTATATAGCCTCTGTCAGGGAAGTCCTACTCACTGCCTTCTCGTGTCGGGGGTGTTGTTTACAAAAATGAGAGGACGAAAAGCGAATGTCCGGCGCTTTAACCGGATTCCAAACTGATGGTGCACATGGGCTCCAGTATCCTGAAGGAACAAATGGCGTATGAACCAATTGTTGGTCACCGGCTACCATGGGACTGCATCTTCTTACGATGCTCCACTGCCTTGTGGGTCAGACCTTCAGGTCGAAGGCTCGGGTAGTGGCTCCTTAAGAAAACCACCTGCTTCGGTTTGGGTACCCTGGTAGTATCACAGCCCTCACACATATCGAATGAGATTTGTGTGGTGCATATGTATTTGGTGCCTCCCTGTACCAATATATATGTGTTAAAATAAATAAATAAAGCTTTTAATTGAATTAATTCGGGTCAGGATTCGAACTAGCTATCTCTTATCGGGAGCCCTGAAAATTTTCTCAAACTAGCCTTCGAAAGCTAGAAAAATCAGAATGCACTTCGTTCAATTCATGCACAATGGAATCGTCTGGATAAACAACGGATTATGTGTGGCTAACGCGATAATTACTTATTTTTTCCTCCAGTTTAGTATTTCCGGACGCTTTTCAGAATATGGAGGCCACCCATGAATAGTCTTGCTTTCTGTAAATAAGCTGACCTCGAGCTTCCGTTTAGGATTAAAATTAATGGAATTCTTGAGAATTCGTAAACGGTTAGGAATCTCTTATCAATAATTCTAGTACCAGGAATATCAGACGTACTGGCTGCTAGTTGAATGTTTCAAATGTTTAACCCAATGCTCCCACAACTGAAACATACATGTGATGTCTTTTTTTGTTCTTAATATCAATACTATTTGTGTGTTGAATGGTTTGCCGAACTTATGGACTGTTTCCTCTTTCTAATTTTTTCATTTATTTTTCTTTTCTATTCCACTTCTATACGTAGCCTTCTACATTGAAAAAGGTAAGTAAATTCTATTAAAACAACAGATTTTTGCACATGGTAGGAAAAATTTATCATAAATTTAAATAGATCTAGTTTTATATATCCTTTTTCATGAATAGAATATTCTTTGTGTGTGTGTGTGTGTTTTAATCATCTCATTCTTTAATCAGTTATTAACTTCAAGTATACCAATTACTAGTTCCTCCATGCTTCACACTGTTGGTTAACATTGAGAGAGAGAGAGCTTTCCTCAAGTTCTTTTGTGAGTTGTTGTGGCTTCGGCTGCAGTTTAAAGATAATTGAAGCGAATTGAATTCCATCGATGATATTGTTTGATGATCTCCGTGTAACATGAATTACCTGAAATCAGAATTGTCATTCAAACAATGCCTTACTCAAAGTATTTGTTTTATTCAATAATTTATTATTCTCCATAGAAAAACACGTATATCTAAAGCTTAGATATTTAAACACATACCTTTCATTGATTTTTTGTTTTAAATATCTAAATACTGAATTAATTTAAGAATTGAAGTCGTTAGAATTGCTTCACAATCACTGTCAGTTTATTTGTGTAATATGAGTTATGACGGTATATTTTTATGTATTTGCATTTTCATTGGCTGTGTTTGTGTTAATTGATTCCTGACTATGTGTTTGATTATTCTTTTCCATTATAAATCGGTTCCTATGTGTTTTAGCACTATGAGCCATAAGCAAAAATTAATTGGGGAAAACACTGTACAATGTTACCTCCAATTATGAAAATGATTTTTTACGTATATGAGTTATCGAAGATCCTGAATTTATGAATATTTCCAGAGCAGACACTATTATTAATAATGACCGTAGATTAAAATCAGCATAAAAAACATTTCACGATCATACTGACTTTTAGATCCTGTATTAAAAATTTCCAATACTCCTTATTGAATGAAAGAAAATTTAGGTTATTTATAGTGTGGGGATATTTCACTAACTTATTTATGATATTTACAACTGATTGATAAATGTGTTTATTTGTTGTTGATCAGTTAAGTTATTACGTAATGTTGTTTCAACATGAAATAATAGTCTTACATACCCTCTTATCTTATAGTTTCACTGTTAAATATATCTGAAATAAAGTCACATATTAATATCTAAAATGTAATGAATTTATTATTTATTAACTGAAGCCTCAAAAAGAAAATGTATTGAAGTGAACTGTGTTTTATTTTAGTTTAATGAAATAACTATCATATATGTCTAGTGGAAAACAATAGGCATCAGCTATTATATGCCGATAGTCGGATATCTCTCTTTAGTTGGATTCTACTGTGATATATTTCTTGTTTATTGACTTGAATTGATTGTTAAACAATTATACTAACATTATATTACATATGGAAATAAGAATAAATGAATTCTTACATTCGATGCACATTTTCGTTTCTCGATAACTTTTTGCACTTAACCGTAATTTACAATTTTATTAACATATCTGTTACGTTCTACTTCAATTCAACTGACAATAAGTTATTGTAAGAGTGATTTGTTTATCGAATGTAAAAAGAAACGTTCCTGCTTGTTGTTTCAACAGAAATTTTTACCGCTCTCAGTTGTACTTTATAACAAATAGTAACAATACAAATGTCGTCTTTGATTGAGATCATGAACCAATTGTGATGGTCTAACATCAATTGGTTCATGATCTCAATCAAAAACTTAATAATCTCCACAACCCCTATACTAGTAACAAACGTCGTCGTTTGTGTATCCTTTTGTTTAGAAAATTGAAAAAGCAAAATGAAAACGTTTTTATTTCTCCGTATTGTCGTTTTATATGATTTTTCTCTGTGTTAAAGTTTTCTAATCTTCATATTCTCGTGTATGAGTATTTTACGTACAGTATGCTTTTAAAAATGCACCGTAATATCAAGGCTGTTTTATATTTGAAATATAAACTACTCAATAAATAAATAAAGTAGTCAGCTACATTACGCATCGTTTGGTTCACATAAGTAGTTGAAGATTATTAGATATCTTACCACGGATCCAGAAGCACACATAACTTTTGCGTAGGTAAGTTTGTCAGTTTGACGAATAAATAACGAGTGTACTGCGCAGAAATTCGCTCTGTTCTACCTTATGGTAATGATACATTTGCCATAAACTTAAAGGGTATTCATAAGTTAATAGTAGACTTCAATCACAAACACCTAAAAAGCGTTGCTGGCATTTGTTGAACCCGTTGAGTAAAATGTATATGAAATAGACTGAGGTTATTGATTAAAGATGGAATACCGGTTGCTTATATAGAGAAAATACATCGACTGAAGCGGTTGACATATGTTTCGTGTGGCATGACTTTAGGTAGTCCATATCAAACCCTGAACCTCAGTTTCGTGGTACTTAACACCCATCAACAACGTGTAGCTGTAGTCTTTAGAGAACTGATTTTCTTTGGTGGGTCCGAAATAGTTCCATCCAAAATAAATAAATTTCCATAAACCAATGAAATGAACAAGATTATTTTGCTAACTATTTGTTCACTCTACGCATAAGTAGCTTTACTGAGTCCAGTGTATTTCAATCAGTAATGTTTGAATAGCTAGCTTAACATCTAATTGATTACTACGTGACGAATTTCGTAACATTGATTACCCCTTAAGTTCAGTCAAATGATTATGAAATCCAAAAAAAAATTAAATGCACTGATTAGTAGCTTCTCAAATAAAATTGTTCCCAAAAAATCATTGACTAAGTTAGTCAGTTACAACGTAGGACCAGGCACATATGTGCATCGGTCCAAGTTGCCATACCTCATTAGCACAACTAGATGAACAACACCGAATTCATAGAAGTAGTTAATTCGGTGGTGGTAATATACAAAAGAAAGACTGTATTTAAGGAAATAGTACGGGAAGAAAGAATTAGTTCGTAGAAACAAAGGTATGAAGCGATTTTAATCTTATAGTTTAAAGGAAGACAGAGAGTGCATACACCTACACCAATGTGATTGATTCTAAGCCATGTCACCCATAGCCACGCGGACTCTTGCCAGTTAGTCTGCATCTAACAACATGGCACAGACTAGAAGTCAGTGACTTCAAGCACTGATGGTACACTTTGGTTTGGCCGCCCCAAACTTTCTTCCAACTATCCTCAACACTAGTCAGCATTGCGCGTCGTGGTAATCGATGTTGAGGCATACTTAACACGTGGCCCAACCATCTCAGTCGATGAAGATTCACAACCTCATCAACTGATTTACCATCATTCCCTAGTACCTTGCGTCTAACCTCACTATTACTATCCCGGTAATCCCAGCGAATACGAGCAATATTTCTTAGAGATTTGTGGTCAAATACTAATCTAACAGTTAAGCATTCGTACACGAAATTAAAAGTCGTAGATTCGATCCCCTGAGTTAGTTTTTCTAAAAAAACACGCACATACTTGTCAACCTTCTCCAAATAATTGTCCAGTTCTTTTCTTTTCTAAAACAAAAATCGTTTTGTTTATTAAGAAACCATAAAATTAATCTAATTCAATTTACAATTTTTATATCAGTCATAAAGTGTTATTTATTTACTAAATTTCAGTTAGTTACAAAATTGTTTTAATCAAATTATGATTCTCATTGTTTTATTGCCTTTCACGACTGTATTGTTTTTAAATGTCTCAACTTGTCAGCATTTTCTTTTTAGAACTTTTCTTTAGTTTATTTTTTTTAGTTAAAACTATTTTTCCCTTTTGGATAAATTTCAATAGTTTTGAATGAGAAGATGAGTTTGTTTATTTTTAGGATTCACAACCATTTTATATGATAATAGCGTTGTACCTTTTAAACAAACTGATCATAGGGTTGACCTGCTAATGGTGAACAGCTAGACCATGGCTATACACTAACCCGTGTATAAATTACGTACTTCTATTTGGTTTACTAAATTCTACCACAAAATTATCACTTAAAGAGTTTATTCGAAAACAGAGTTTCTTCCAGATCAGCATCTATTAAAAAAAATGAAATTAACAAGCCGAGATCTTTGGTCACTTTTCAATGGTTTATCATAACTCACACACTAATGTATTTATACACATAGATTATAAGACGGGACACACCACAAATTGTAAATCACAGTTTATACACAACGAAATCATGAGGAGCATAGAAAGGAAGATGGAGTGACTAATTAATTAGCAATAGCTAAGGAATAATATAGTGTTTGACCACTGTTGTTGTTGTTGTTTAACGATAGTCCATGGTATAAAGAATATGGAAATACAATAGTACAGTTATTTAACAATTATTCAATAAATATATTTAAGTTAATGCGTCTTCTAACTGAATTCTCGAATCAATTTCCTAGATACTTCTAATAACCTCAGACGACCATTCCTGTTGTCACTCCGATTGCTACTGTTTTCATTTCTTTCCTCATTTTCCTCCTCTGTCCATTACAATTCTACTTTCTATTTCTCGTACATGCTACTTATTTTTTTCCATACAAGTAGTACACACCACAATAACTAACTAGATAATGCCCTAAATATTGCAATTAAGATGTTCTTTTGGTAGTTATTTGTTGACAACCTATTTCTTTTTTTCCATTCATTGTTGTTGCCTCTATATTATATCCGCTCAATCATTGCTCATTTGATTAATCAAATTTTATCCTCACAATTTATCATAAATTATACTAATCATTTTGTAAAGTATATTCCTGGTTAGTTTCAAATTAAAGTATAATTTCTAAAGGCAAATAGATAACATAAAGTTTTGCTAAGATTTTTAAATCTACATCTAACTTCATCCCATTAATGAATTTTTACTGTCGTTTCATTGAATTAGGACGACAGTAAGCTGTTTCCCTTAGACAGTCATTATCTGTAACTATACCAACTCATAACGGAAGGAGAGGGTTAGGAAAAGGTCGGTCTTGAAAATAGAATAACCCAACTTGTCCCATTTTGATTGTGTGCACATGGTTTAGCATTGATTATTGTTAAGTGTTCAATTGCTATATTTTTTGTTATAATCAATATATTGGAATATCCCAAGCCTTCATATAAAATCATGTGAACAATGACGTCGAGCAAATGTTCCAATCTTTTCATTTTGTTTATTACAAAAACAGTGTTTATGCAAAATGTAAATAACCAGAGATTTGTGAATTAGGAATTTATCAACACACCACTTTTTATCATACCGATAAAATTAATAACAGGCCGTAAACAGTATGGAAAATTGGTTATCTTGTTGTTACCGGAACAGAATCCAATAAACACCTATCAGTTCATTCATATTTTTTTACTTTACCATTTTGAAAACAGTAGACTTTCGTGTTATGTTTTGTGTACAAATGAAAACTGCACTACGATTTATTGATAAAGTATGTAAGACTTCGAGAAAAATGATAAAACAGTCATATAATCCCAATACCCATTCATTAGGTAATTGGAAATCTATTTTTTTTATACCTCCCTTTTGATTTGTGATTTCACATCAACAACTGGATAACAAACTAATTCTATTCAGGATTTAGGTTTCACTTACTTGTTACCTTACTGTTACCTCTCGTGGAGTAGCATAAGAATCCCACCGGCATTCTCCATAGAACTCTGTCCTACTCAATCCTTCCCAGTTGATATTCATACTTTTCATGTCTGCTTCCAATACCCAATGCAGTGTGTTCTTCGACTTTCCTCTTTTTCGTTTCCCTTCAGCATTTTAAGTGGGCACTCGCCTCGTGAGGCAGTTTGATGATTTTCGAAATGTATTTCCTATCCACTACCCACGTCTATTCCTAATTTCCTCTTCAACTGGAAGCTGGTTTGTTCTCTCTCACAGTAGGCTGTTGCTGATAGTATCCAGTCAACGGACACTGAGTATCTTGCATACACAATTGTTTGTAAATACTTATACTCTCTTGATGATGGTTGTGATGGTTCTGCAAGTTCCAGCTGCGTACAGTGGAACTGTGTCAACGTTCGTATTGAAGATTGTGACCTTGATGTTGGTTGACAGACAGTTGTTTTGAGTTCCATATGTTCTCAAACTATAGGAATGCGGCCCTTACCGCAGCAACTGCTATTCATCGTCTTCGTGAGTTTCTTTCCATAATCATTCAGTTCGAGTCATTCTAGCATAAATTCCGAATCATCCCACAATGTTACATTTGTTATTATCATAGCAAGAGGTGAAGTTAAAATAATGCGATAAAAAATATCGCACAACGAGAGGTATAACTTGGAAAATCTTCAAGAGGTCAACGAGTGAAAGATATGTATGAAACAACATCTGAAGATATACACGAAGATATATGATAAATCTTATTTCACACTTATGAAATTGCTGTGTGTCACTCAACATCTCCAACCATTGATCATAACTATCTCAATGATGCTAACCTATAAGTTCGTACCTTCTGATACGTTTCAAATCAACAGTCAGTTACTTGATGGATTGATGTCATGTGTGGATACACTTGTTATCTTTCTTCCCATCCTAATCCCATTAAAAATAACAACACTACATGTTGAAGTAGATATGCTTGAAAAACTTTTCTAACCACTTTTACAGATTGATATATTAATCCGACTTTATTTTATATAGTATCCTACCTCGAACCCTAGCATTTTGTAAATGCAATCTGCAAGTGGTAAATAATTTGTTTTCTTAATTTTTATAGCTTGGTCTACAACTTATAAATGGGCTGATTCATTATGGATGAATAATATCTCTTTATTGTTAACTAGTGTAACTGTGTTTATACTCCCGATTGTAAGACGATATTATGCAGCTTTAGTTTTAATCTCTTGTGGTTTTGGACTTTTTTCAGGTACGTTGATATTGATAATGATGATGTCAGTTGTGGCATGATTAATGATGTACTTATTAAATATTCTTACTTTTTGTGGATATTTCTGTATGAGATGGTGGAGAAGATTTGTAGCTCAGGTGGATGATTTTGAAGGAGTTTTGTTCTCTGAGCTGGATGGTTTAGTCGTGGAGCTTTCATCGTTCTTCTGAACGACATCATCAGCACAAACTTCAAATAGAAGTGAAGTGTTCGAATTTCTCCATATGTGTTTCACAGCTTGTTCTGGAGAAATTCGAACACTTCACTTCTATTTGAAGTTTGTGCTGATGATGTCGTTCAGAAGAACAATGAAAGCTCCACGACTAAACCATCCAGCTCAGAGAACAAAACTCCACCAAAAATATTTCTGTATGCTTCATTTTGGTAATCTAAATAGTTTGAACAATCAGAGAAGTTAAATCCACTGTCAACGTTGATGTATGAATGTAGGTACAAAATTGGATAGCATATACAAAATGTTACAGTAATATGTTTAATTATGTTACTAATGTGCACTATTTATTAATGAAATATACATTTATGTACTTACTCTCTAGTGTTAACAGCGTTAGTTTAATGTTTTGTTATGCAGAAATTGCCAAAAGTTCTTTTGCTTACTATTAGGAATACTAAACTGACTCTTAATTTGTACTTTCATACATGAAAATGCTTATTCTAATATCAATTAAATGACCAAAAAATGAATATTTTAATGTACAAAATATTTCAGATTGTGCAACTTTTGTGTGTGTTCATTGTATTTACTTTAACTGAGCTACTGATGTTGCTTAGTTATGTCAGTAACTAAACAAACGAGCGATCATCTATCAATTTGACTTTTATCTGTTTTTATTCAGTTGATAAAGTGCATGAAAATATTCATAGTTTACTTAACTGATTAATCTTAACTAAATGAATATCGAAGATTAGAAACCACTGGACAACTGGTGTATTCTAGTTTGGGACTTCATGATAGTACACTTTCACAATCCTATCAGAAATAGAATCTATGACCGTTAGGTTGCTCGGCGAAGATTACAACTTTAGGAAAACTGAACCGCCATCCGTTGATGAATTCTTAACTTGTGTCAATTCTTGATATTGTGCGACAATGTAACTGTCTTACATCTTTCATAATTGAATTCCGTTGGTCACTAGAACTTTGAGACTTACCTAGTGTGCACATATTTATCATTCCCTTAAGATTTTATGAAGATTGTTCACTTTGCGTATGAAAATAATGATACGTGAATCATTAAGCGAGTTAAAGAGCTTTACTTCTGAGGTCTCTCTTGGATATTTTAAACTCCAAAGACGAAAGTTTGATAAGTGTATTGCCACAAATGAAGTGAACATTTTAATAGTATTAAGCCTAGAATACCTTTGTTCTGACCTCGAGTCGTGTAATTTGAATGGAAATTCCAAGGTTCTTGATTTGTTCTCTCACTATTTACTCATTATAAATAAAATTTATTTGAAGTGTTTCTGAAATCAAATTACCATGAATCAATACGACAATGACAGCATATAAGAATATTTATATTAACGTCTCAACAACAAACTAAACCATTTTATTCAATCATTACTATATGGTCTGTATTTATTATCATGCTTTGCCCACTATAGTTTTCAATAAGTCAATCATCAATGTTTTTGCCATAAAATTACCTCAATTAAATACGGTATACTAATTTTCTTTCTTCACTTCCTTTCTTAAAAAAAAACAATCAAAAAAACTTCCAGCTGTATTCGTATCGTTGAAAAGTATTCTAGTCGTGGAATTGATCGGTATTGATCGTTTGACTAATGCATTTGGCTACTTACTTTTATTTCAAGGCTTTGCAGCCGCTGTCGGTCCGCCAATGGCTGGTAAGTTGTTTATTTTTATGATAATAATTCTATACTTGAAATTGTAAATCAGTCAGTAGGTTAGTAAAACACTGATTTGAACTTTGCACCTCACAATTGTATCATAATAGTTGATAAGTAACACCGTGATATGTGACTTAAAGTCAATTCGGATCTTTTTTTGGAAAGGTTCTTTTAAAATATTTTAATGATTACCGTTTGTTTATTTTTAGTTACAGAGAGAGTAGAGTTCTTTCAAACTTTTAAGATTTTAATATTCTGGCATCATGAATTCTTGGTTTTCATCACGGATTGACCTCGGTTAGACAACTATTAAAAAAATGGGGAAGCGTTAAAATACTGTCTCGTTCTAGTATGATACTCGTCTGTATCGATGGCCTTATCAAGAATACTGAGTTGATAAGTTGTTGTTTTTAGGATAGCGTAGTATGAAACGTTTTCCAACATAATTCAGTTACAAAGTTCAGACTAATATACCAAAGCTTAAGGTTAAATGCTTTTCAGTCTAATTAGATTTAATATTAATACTTAACTGTTTAGATTTTAATGAGTATAGTGATCTAGTGATAAAATGTACCAAAATGTAAAACCTTAACTGTACACGAAATCTGACACTACGACTTGTCATACGTTTTTATGAACAAGCAAAGACTGAAGACTAAAGTCTGTGATTTAGACTCCTTTCTTCACCATTTTTTTTCCGTTTCTCTTAGTGTTAACTGGTACTATTCATTTTAATTTCAAAGTTTAGCATCTCACTGATTATGACTTTTCTGTATGCACTCGAATTCGTTCCACAATTTATTTATAAAGAGATTAACGAATACTATTCCACCACTGAAATCTAAGTAGATAGAGTACAAGTACAATTCGTGATCTGTATGTTAGAAGTCAAATGTTTTAATATCACTTTAGGCCACTGTATTTGTAACCTTTCAAGTAAAATCCGTAAACCCAGTATTGCTTTCTTTACAATTGAAAAGAATTTCCATAAAATTATCCTACAAACGTTCTTCATTCATCTAATGATTTTACAAATGTAATTCACTGGGTGCCTAAACTTTCGTAGTGGGACCTGAATCTTCCGGTTTCACACCTTGGTAAAGAGGTGGGTGTGCGCTGCTGACATGCTCCGTACTACATTGAGACAGCGGACTCTCAGAAGCCGTTCAACCTAAATCATGTCTCGACGTTAAAACACTAACAAATAGTAATCGGAATATATGATGACTCAGATAACTGAATAACATCATGCTCTGTGTGTGACCTAAAAGTTCAGTCTGTTGGTTCTTATAAAAGAGCAAATGTAACTGTGCATATATGAGAAATTATTAAACTCAAACTATATGATTGAGTTAGTATCCGTTCATTCATCAGTGATTATTTTCCTAACATCACTTGATCTTATCTATAAATTAAGATAAATTTTCTCAACTCTTCACTTTATCATCAACATTGTTTATTGTAGTTTCTCAATTGACAGTTAATGTTATGAATATTTTTTCATGCTATTAGCCTAACGAACGCTAATTAGTCAGTCAGCTATTGTTTATATTAAACAATTATTAACCAACTATAAATGCTTATTTATTCTCAGTTTACTATTCGGAACACTTGGATAACTGACCAAGACAAGTATTTCACATTATTCAGTATTAGTCTGAATTAAAAGCCTACATGACTACCAATTTATTTACTTACACATGTTAACCCTCATGAAAAAGCATAAGCCACCCACTAAGACCTAACTACTACATACATTAAATACGTAAACCATAATACACCATAAATATCAATCAAATTAAACTTGACGATTAGAATCAGTCAGTCAGTCACAACGTATAACTTCGTACGTACGTACCTCACAATCGTAGTAAAATCCTTCATCAAGTACATGAGCATGTCCTTGGTGTCGCTTAGCTTCACGGTCAAGAGTACATTTAAGCGGTCGAACTTCAACTGAACGACCTAATTTGTGCCAAACATGTTTAGGATCATTATGATTACAATAGCCCAATCGCAAATCAAATGTTATCTCAATATTTTCCAACATCACACACACGATTAGAATAGTGTGTTTAAAACGAATACCATGAACTATTTCTTTAATAAATACATATTAACTATATGATTGTGTAAAATATTCTCTAATTGTACACATTTTCATTTATTCTTTATGTATTGATCCAAGAATAAGTCGTTGTGTTTTGTTTTCCTTTGAAAAAAAATCTTTTCTAAAGTACATTAATCTGCTTTATATTGTGTTTTCTCTCCTTTCTTTCTTTTTTTTTAATATTTTCTTCCAAATAAGTAACATATTTCTGATTGTTTTGTAATTAACTTGAGTTAATTTTACATGAAAATGTTTGATTTTATAGAGAGATAATCAATCAATTCTTTCCAATAATTGATAATAAGTACATTAATCATTGTAATAGAAAGTACACATTAATTTACAAGTACTATAAGACTTGGGTATGGTAAATCAATGTCATAATATGCAAAGTCATACACTATATGAGTACATCGTTTACATATCTTCTTTGAGTTCTCTTTTAAAAACTCTTTCAACCCTTCAATCCTTCTGTTATTCCAATTGTCTGTATTAATCAGTATCATAAGAACAATAACAATATCACGAACGTTTTCGTAATGTTAGATATTTTGCAAGATGAGAAATAAACAATGAGATGATGGGACATTTCAATCTTACTTCGCGTGCTACTTATATACTTCTATGACGAAAAAGAAGAATACAAAATTAAGATTCACAGAATAACAAAAATCACTGTGTTAGGTATACCATCGTAATTGTTGCTTGATTTATTTTCCTATGTAACGATTTTATTTAATAGATTGAAATCATGAGTCAGTTGAAGCTAGACCACCATTGAAAACCTGGAAGCACTGGAAGCACTGCTCACTAGTGACTGACTTCAAGAGACACTCCTGGAGTTCTAGTAAGAAGCTGTGACCAGTGGAGTTCAACTGGTCTGTTGTGAGATAACAACTCACTGAAGACAATGGTGTACGGTGGCGCAACTTCGTGGATTGGTTGAAGTTAGACATTAACACCGTTGGATGCCGGCTCAGTGGTCTAATGGTTAAGTGCTCGCGCGCGAAGCCAGTAGGTCCTGGGTTCGAGCCCCGCGTGGTGCGGGATCGTGGATGCGCACTGCTGAGGAGTCCCATACTAGGACGAAACGGCCGTCCAGTGCTTCCAGGTTTTCAATGGTGGTCTAGCTTCAACTGACTCATGATTTCAATCTGTGAAATTTCTAAAATCTCACAAAACCCATTCTGATTTTATTTAAATTAATCAACTAATCTAAATACATCCTTATTATGACAAATTAAATGATATAATTAGGATAAGGTTTCAGACTAACAAGCTATTTGTTCACATGTTTACAATTGTTCTGTGAAAGATTATCTGAATATTTCTTTCCAGAAAATAACATATTAGTCATACCAATAAGATTAAATAAGTTCACTGTAATTCATTTATCAAACACAAGTACTTATGTACACTTAGTTTTGATGTACACTTTAGATATTTGTGACCTAGTTAAAATATTCACTGTAAATAACACTAGTTAGCTGCTTTAAAAATCACCAAGTTACCTGTTTACATTCAATTTATTGACTAATAACAATCATCATCATCATAATAATAGTAGTACTTGCATTAAATGAATCTAAAATAAAGTTTATTTACCATGTCTTTATTGTTATTTTATCATCTTTACTTAGAGTTCTTATCTGGTATATAAGAAAGACAATGTAGTAAGAAGTGATTATTTCCTCTTATTTCATTTTTGATCTGATAATATTGGTTTTTATATAGTATTATGTAATATATCGATTTATTATTCATTTTCTCATTAACATCATCACCTTCTTTGTTGACAATGATGTCTACATTTAAATTTCAATGTTATTTCTTTAATGAATAAGTTTTACTCTAACTTTCACTAAAGTTTTAATGATTAAATCGAGATATAGTTGTATCACTTTTTTATAATCAATAAATGATGTCACAATACGTAGAATAAATTCAAGTATGTCTCAGTGAAAGTTTTTTCGCGATGGTTGACGTTTACCGCGTAAGAGTACCCGATCGAAAGACTTTTTTGTTTCATTGAATGATCGAAAAAAACAACAACTGAGGATATGATCAGAAAGCTCATTAAATGAGAGTGTTTTAGCACGCGTGATATTCATACTCACTGGTTTTATGTATCGCAGTTACCAGGTAATCATGGATCGGATTTGGGAATATGCATAAATTGGAAATGATTCTATATTTCATCTTCTGTTTGTAGATCAGATGTCTAAAGAATTATTAGCTATTTATCTTGGGCACCTTACTGTCATTTTATACTTGTATATTCAATGGTATTATTTCATCATAGGATATAAAATGTTTTGCTTATGGTCATATCTCACACTTCAATCAACTTATCTAATATTCCAGGTTTTCAAAAAGCAATCATTTCCATTAAATATGTCTAGACAGTTGAAATTACGAGTCGATCTAAGCTAGACCATTATTGCAAATGTGGAGGCACTAGACGCCCTTTTCATCCCAGTATAGGACTCCTCAGCTGTCCACACATACACAAGACCATTTGTCTCACGCGCCAAAGATTGACCTCTAGACCACTGAGCCGATATCCAAAAATGTAAATACCTAACGTCGATCCATCCGTTAATGATACATTTTGATTAAGTTAATTAGATAGTTACGGATGATTAGTGAAAATAAGAACTATAGTTTAAAAGAAAAATTCAGCATTTTGAACTACTACTCACTTAGTTTGATTGTAAGGGTTTCAATTGTCGTGTTGTTTTTATTAAAGACTAAACTTGGTAGGTACATTTGGCTAACGAGTCTAAGATAAAATGAAATTCACATCTTAGGTTCCACTGTTAGCCAATATGTAACTTTTCTTAAACACTACTAACTTATGTACAATAATTCCCTTCTTTATTTCTAAGAACGAATAATGAATCAAATAGAAATGTCATTCATTCTAAATTAATTTTCCATGATTGTTTCGATATAAATTATTTTAGATTTTGTCTGTTTAGAGATCGTTTTCTGTTCTCATACGCATACACAGATATTATTGTGTGTGTGTGTGTTTGATTATTGAGCACTTTTCTCAGTTTTTTTTCCGATTGTTCTCTCATTCTGTAATTCAATTTAAATGATTCGAAGTAGGAAACACTCCTTTTTTTATGTCAATAAATAATGTTGTAATTTACTGAAATCAAATTTTATTTCATTATCATCTATTTCTGTGATAATGCATGTTGTCTACTCATCCTCATCATTCTTCTCCTTCATCGCATTGCCATTTTTGTGCCTTAATAAAACTAATCCTACTTATAAGTAGCATAGAGAAGAATGTGATAGTTTCACGTTTTCCGATTGAATTTTTTCGCTCACTTCTTGATATTGTTTTTTTTGTACTTATTTTTTATCCTCTAGGTTATTTAAGAGATTTACAAATAGATAAAACATCACCATTCAGTATTTCTACAGTGCATAATGCACCATCGCATAACGCATCATCTATGGCTTTTATATTTTCTGCTTTTGCTTTGTTTATCTCTTGTCTTCTTGGCTGTCCTTTACGTTGGTTATCAAAAAGAGGATTTTCCAATAAGCCAAAATCATACAGTCCTATTGAGTTAATGCCAAATCATGTGGATCATACAAATTATAGTTATGAATATAATACCATTTCACCGACTTTGCCGACGACTGATCATGAATATTATATACAGCAACAACAACTGGGTAATATAGTCAGTGAATATCAATCCATAGACGTAAATTGTATGGCACCAGTTGATCCGACATCTACTAGCAGACGTGTTGACGTCACTGACAGTCATTATGCGGTAAACCAACCGACGGTAGCACCATCTTCAACTTCATTGACAGTGATCGATGCCTTTAAGTCACAGAATTCAACCACTGATCAATTATCACCATCTATTATTCCTCAATCTTCTGTAAATTGTTTACCGATATCGTCCGGTCATCATATGATTTTCTCAACAGAGCCAACATCTACATTAGCTGCCAGTAGTGTTGTCACTGGATTGTTGGATAGTAAGACATTAGATACTACTGCTAATACTACTGGTACAACAATACCTATGACAGATGAGTCTGTTTCTTTGGTCAATGTCGGTGGTTTAAAATTGCCCGCTGCTGTTATTCCTGCATCTGTAGTCAGTGGTGGTGGTACGGTTCCCACTCCAGTAGTATCATTATCACTTCCAGCTCAATCTGTTGAAGTGAGTAGAGCTTTTATGGCAGTTGCTTTTTTGGTATTAGATATTAAGTCTCAAAAAGAGGGAGAGAGATCTAACAAATATCAAAATACTATTCTGCATAATTCGTTCAATTGTTTCGTAGATATTTACAGTTGTTTATTTTAAATCGAAATGATTGACTTTAATCGGTTAGATGTGAAGGGCTGTATCATTATATATCATTTTCAAAGTGGACTTAGAATGTCGTGTAGCAGCCATGATATCAGTATACAACACATTAAAATTCATCTATAAACAACCTGGAATTTTCTAATCAATATTTCGTAATTAGTTTTTATCAAAGTATTTCATGCATGCCTTGATTAATCAATCTTGAAGTTAGGGAATAAAATTTTAATCTTACCAAAAGTAAGTCAGTAATAGATAAGTTAACTAGCAACAAAACCGATATAGTTACGTTTTGTAGTATGGTGCATAGAAAGCTACTATCTACTTTGAACAATTTACTTAAAGTTTGTAACCGTACTTCATCATCTGGTTAAAATTATATTTTCAAATTGGTTCACACAAACACGTACATGATTAAAATATGAAAACGAAATTGTACGTATAAAGATATACAAATCTGAACAAAATGTTTTGTAATCTTTTTTATACTTCACAATTTATAACGCAAATTTATGCGTTCACTTATCTACTTTTTAATTGATAATATCGAATGTTTCATCTGAATGGTTTCACTTGTCTAACAGTTTGATTGGTTGGTCACTAATGCAATTTCACACTGGTCTCGCCAATAGGCGGTTGCAAGCACGATACGTATGTCCGAGATTTCCTATTGGTTTCATCCGTCTATCTAATATCAAACAATATTAGATACTATCTGAAGTCACTTAAACTAGTAATTACCTAACAATTAGATTGATAGACTTCCACTTGTACTGAAGATTAGACGAACGCAATATTATTTTTTAGTCACTATAGATAAAGCTGCAGTGGATTTACAAGCAAAATCTTTCGCTTTTCATGAATATTCAAATTTGCACTGTGCTTTATTCTGGAATATTTTGGTACGAATCTAATAGTGAACAGTCTGCTCAAATAGAATGTTTTCGAGAACTCTCGTAAAGAATTTATTCGATAAGAATGGAGTTAGATATTATTCAGCCTTACGTTTTTGTGTAATTTCTTACCTAACCTACGGCGTTTATTTTCTTATCTTTTCTATTTCCCCCACCGTCCTCAAACTATCCAACTTCCTCAAGGTTTTAGAGGTCAAAGAAGATCCTGGTTTAGAACCAGTTGTTGAAGAAGAAGAAGAAGATTATGAAGATGATGAACAAGATGTCGATCAATATACAAGAGTAAATCAATTGGAATCTGGTACATTATTATTGACAGAACCTAGTACCAATATTGATAGTAGTATACCAACATCAGAATCAAGCTTTAATCAAGATACTACTGGTGATTCAATAACAACTAATAGTTCTTCATCTTCATCTCTACGTAATATCAATTCGCGCAAAGATGGCATAAAGCATAAACGTCGTCGAACTTCTAAACCATTTGAATTAAATACGACAATTGTTGAGGATAAGTTTACTGTAGATGTAATCAATGATGTTAATGTTGATGAGGATACTAATAATGTGCAAATAATTCCTGATACTACTACGACGACGATTACCACTACTTCTACTAGCACTACTATTACTACTACTACTTCTGACACTGGTACTACAAACAGCACAACACCAACTACAAATGAAGATAACAATGATGCTAATGCTGATCACACTTTTGGTAGCGTTGGTGATAATAGTAATAATAATAACTGTAAAGAAGATACTAACTGAGAACGAACTAATCATAACGATAACAACACTAATTAAACTATTTTTATCTGCTAAATCTGATCCAAGATTTTCTACTCTCTACTATTTTATTCCATAGTACATGTATGTATATTTATGTGTTTGTCTATGTCAAATAATAATCATCTCTGTGTTGTCTGTTACTTCGAACTATAAATAAATATGCATAACTAGTCGAATATTCTATTCAAAAGTATCACACTTTTATTTTTCTACTTCTATCCCACTATTCCCAACCTACTCTTATATGTGTACTTGCTGAATTCGCTATTCTACCAACAATAATCACTTAAATTTCTTTGAGATATACGACAACATCAATGTATTATGTATTGAGTTTTCTTCCTTTGAAATCTGTATCATTTCTATGTATTTCTTACGACAGATACTGGTAATCCTACATCTCATTATGTAAATAACTTAGTCTCTTCACTTGTCCCCCCTCTATTTCCTTTCCTTTCCTTATGGATTGATTCATGTGTACATGATTTGTAACATTGGGACTAATATGAATACTGTTAATTCTGTATACATCATTGTCCTGATCGTTAAATCTCACATTATTCATGTAGGGTTTTTTTGACAGTTTCCACTTTCTCTACCAATCAATCATTATAATTCTGCTTTTAACTATAACTATACCTCTTACTCACATTATCAATTTCTATTCTATTATTGATTTGTTTGTGCCATAATTACCTACTGCTTGTTCATTTTTATTCTGGTTCTGTACATTTACTATTGATAATCATTATCATGATGATACTATCGTTAAGATGTATCTTGTTATTGCTTTCATTGTTGTTACTACTGCCGCTATTGCTGACGCCGCTGATGCCATCATCATGTTTGTTGTTTCTGTGAAGAGTTTTCATTTACTTGGTACTTTCTTGATATTAAGCATATTCTAGCAAGTACTTTCACTATTACTACTACTACAACCACTAATTTATCTTTTCATTCATTCTGTTACGTCATACATTATTGATTTATGTTCATTATATTTGCTTATTTATTGATTTATTGACTTAATGTTATGTTTTTCACAAAACAAACAATCGAATGTCATTGATGTTTTGTTTGTTGTGTAATTTGGCAGTGTTTTTTTCTTTCTTTCTATAAATTTCATTTCTTGATGCTGGTCTCACTCACCGTGTGTGTGTGTGTGTGAAAATTTGGTGAACTCGTTTGTTTGTTAAAACAAATTGTTCGATTTCAAAGATTTAAACGGATGTATACCGGTTTTTTTGTTCGTTGTTGCTACTTGTCTGTTTGTTTTCAAAAAAGTAAATTACATAAAACATCTAAAGTTAACTGATCCTTAATAGTGATTAACAGTAAAAAAAGGTGATCGAAGTTAAGTGATTAATATATCAATGTCCGATCTACAGTTGAACAGAGTGGTTAGATCCAAGGTGTAGTATTTTGATTTGTCAAGTACAAATTCATTTCTAGTCACTATTCAATTATGTGTTTAGACTAGTAATATTAAATACTTGTCTGAACTGAAATAGACGGAACAGGATTCGAACTAATGAAATCTTAGTTACGAATCATGTGTTACTAATTGTACATTCACCGTTTAACGATCATTGCTAATAGTATAACCATCCTATTACCGTTCATTTTCATGTAAAAACATGATAGATTTCAGGTTAACACCTGAAGTAGGAAGCGGCTTAACAACAAAGTGCTAGTTATTCAATAATAATCAGTTTATTCACAATCATTTTCATGTCTAATGGTTTAAAGAATATCGACTGTTTAGTAATGATAACTTTATATCCGTAGTTAATCCTTAGAGACTTTGTATTGTCACTCTACACCTTATCTTGTGTAGTAAGTTCAAATAGGAATAAGATGCTATACCTACTAGCCTTAATTGATTTCGGTTCAAAATGAAAATAGCATTTAGAACAATCAAATGTTTTTTTTTACAATCCACGAAGAACCAAGTTAAATATTTCGAATAAACATCGAATTATTTTATTTTAAAGTATATATTTTCGATAATAGTGAAAAGGACGTTACAGTAGTCATATAGTAAATTTATCTGTAAAATAAAATCAATTTCCGTCCTCTTTCAGATGTGTTTCGTAAGACGAAATTCCCTCAACCAATATCGTTTGATATTTAACTGTATTGATTGTATTTCTAGAATCATTAACCAACCGAAAGATCGATCCTATATGATACAAAGTTATGAAATCCATGTTATAACTGTTTTTGATACTCCAAAGATTGATACTTTGAAGCAATCTCAGCTCTCATCATTGCAAAATTCACCAAGAATATACTTATTGGAATGCACATAAATTCATTAAATAGGATAGGGAAGACAATGTTCTCCCTAATCTCTCCCATTTGTAGTAGTCATTTTTAAACCAATTCACAGCACCATAGTGAATGTTATTCTATTATGTATTTTTAATACAATTTTGAAATATCTTTAGATAGTTTACTTCACAAATTGACATTGGGTTGGATATGATTAAAAACCAGCAAACACTGAACAATTATTTCGCCTCAATATAGAACTCGTCAGTAGTTTTCATTTACAATTTTGCCAAGAGGTCGAGACATGAAAGCAAAATCTGACCTAAGGATTCCTCGCAGCGCTACTGGAAAGTAGAAGCAGCCTTGCTAGCCAACGTAATTGCTCGACGGAGGTCGGACTGATCACCAACTCCGATCAACTTGGGTTCTACTCGAAGCCTACTTAATCGCTCAGGATCACCTGATGTGTACGCTCATGTGTAAGAATTGCATAAGTCCCCTGGCCTGTGTAGGTATGTGCAAACGGTGTACGTGTAGTGTTATGCCTTGGAATCGTTCGCCGAAATATCTACCCTAATAAAATCAGCGACTTAATCTATCAGGTCGAAGACATAGTAGCAAGTGCTAAATGAAGGTGGCCAACAACCTCCCCGGAGAGAATGCTTATGTTTATTTGTGTCATGAAGTACTGTGGCGGCAGCCATGGGTTGAATTATATGCAACTAAAGTGTAAGAGACAGTCTAGTGTTGCAAATATGTTTTCAAGGGAGTGATGAACATCTACCCTCCCAAGTGGGTGAATATACCTATGTGTATGCTGTAGGATGCATGGGATTAAACCTGTGTGTTACCGATGTTCATATAACGCAGATTTTCTCACAGGGTAGGTATATCTGTATGTAAACCAATGAACACTCGGACGAAAATCTGTGTTACCTAGTATTCACGTAGACTATTCCTATCCAAGTTAAGTTATAACCAAAAAACTCCTTTAATTGATCTTACTACGATACCGAGATACCCGTAAAGACCTGCAAAGCCGCGGCTCCCCAGAAGATCACATCCACGCAATGGGTTTGTGAACCTTGAAAACATGGAATTCATTCCGGAAAGGCCTAAAGAAGCTTCACTAGAAAAGGCTTTACCAACCAAACTGGCTGGAACACCGTATGGAGACGTGAAACAACTGTCAATTCTTTCTTGGCTTTCAGTAGTACTCTATACTGATATTCACTCCAGGAGAAAACTACCTACCAATGAAAACAGTTGCCGCAAAACGTCAATCTGAAACGTTTGTTTAACTTTCCAGTAGTATTCACTCAGTAAGATAAGAAATTGACACCTCGCTTTCTAATCAAAATTTAATTAGTTTGGCCATAACATTGTGTATTCAACACACATTTTGCCTTTGAATTTCATCTGTTTTGTCGATGAACACGAAATTTTTATGGGAAAATTAAACTTGAACGGCAAATATTGATATATTTTATTCATCTATTGAATTCACCTTGGACAAAAAGGAGAATATTTTACTCCTAGATATTTTATTGAAATGTGAATCGACGGTATACCTAGGATATCTCATTCACAGAAGATAGACATGTAATGAACAAATGTTCATGTTTCATAACTGAGGTTTGATTCGTTTACTTTACTTTACTTTACGCCTTCCTGTACTCAAGCTCAACATGCTCCATGAGTAGGAAAACGAAAATAACGATAAAGCTATATTGGCAAGCCAAATGAAAATGTATACAACTAGTTGGTGTCGTGGGTATTTACTACTACTGAAGAGTTCCGTAGTAGGACGAAACGGCCCTTTAGTAATTCCTGTTTTCCAATTTTCACCTAGCTAAGGTTAATCCGTGATATAAAAAATCTTCAAACTAAATAACACCAAATATTATGTATATCTGAATCGCTCTTTAATCTTTTCACTTCCGTAGACCCCAGGTTAGTGTATGTAGGTGTCATATGACTTGATTACCTAATGGATCATTCTTACCTTCTAATGATTTATCGAAATGATGTATTCCTATCATAAAAATTCTAGTCAAACGTTGTTCTCTATGGCGTCAAACGAAATTGAATGATATTACTTGTATCAGATCGATAATACCATGGTCGTTTTATAATATTGGATTCAGTTTTGTAAGAGTTAGTCGACGTACATTATTAAATAGTCCCATACTTGGATAAAACAAGCACCTAATATGTCCTAATTTTTCAATGGATATTAGTCTACAATTAAAATTGTCTTTGAAAATTGAACAAACATTTTAAATGTCTCTGGTTATTCGCATACCAGCACAATCAGCAATTACATTTGCCCTCATATTCAAGTTGTAACTTTAATGAGATGCAATAAAGTCAGAGTTTGATCTTCTGTAGATAAAATTTTGAATTCAATACTTCACGAAGTCAATAGTGTTTACTGAGAAAAGATTAAAACAACAATCCACTGCTTCATAACTTTCTTTCATAACAGTTATTCAATTGTTATCAATCCGTTCTTGATGGAAATCATCTTAATTCCATATAAAATTCTCGATTAAATTACATTTTTACAATTAAATGGTCAACAAATCAATTCATTATTAACATTGAAATGATTATCATACACAATCATACATAAATATTCTAATGATAACTGAGTCAACAAGGTGACGCCAAGTTTGTACTGGTAAATAATGCTGTATAACTATAATATTAGGAGTGAACCAATCAGAATCAAAGAGACAATCTTCGTCTTTTTTTCTCTTAAAACTTAAAAAACACAAACGAATGCGCATTGCTGAGGAGTCCCATACTAGGACGAAACGGCCGTCCAGTGCTTCCAGGTTTTCAATGGTGGTCTAGCTTCAACTGACTCATGATTTAAAATCAGTGAAAATTTCTAAAATCTCCACAAACCCCTTCTGATAACAAACGAATTACTTATTTTATAGTACATAAAAGTACCTTCATCTAGTGTTCAGATCATTTTAAATGATTTAAAAACATTCTAAATCATTAAGATTGTTTACTACTGCCTCTTGACTAAAAAAAAATGTTTATTTGTTCATCAATTTGAATAAATGTTATTGTACATCGATCGTATTCTATTAACTTGATGGTTGAGTCGTTAAGTTCTAAAGGGTCAAACTTACCGAATGGTTGATCAATATATTTAACATATGTATATAGATATCTATACCTGCTTGTTTATTTAAACAACATAACTACTTTCTACTTAGTACATCATTTGACAATTCTTAATAGTATACTGTGAACAAAGCAATAACATAATCAATTCCTATTGATTTATGTTTTGAATATAATCGGCAACGTAAAGTGTAAGTAATTCAAATAATTTCACTCTTGAACTACATATCACTTGTTTGAATCCTGTAAATGTGTATTCTTTTTTTTCTTCAAAACACAGCTTAGTTTTCACAGATTGAAATCATGAGTCAGTTGAAGCTAGACCACCATTGAAAACCTGGAAGCACTGGACGGCCGTTTCGTCCTGGTATGGGACTCCTCAGCATCCACGACCCCGCACCACCCGGGGCTCGAACCCAGGACCTACTGGCTTCGCGCGCGAGCACTTAACCATTAGACCACTGAGCCGGCATCCAACGGTGTTAATGTCTAACTTCAACCAGCTTAGTTTGTTATTACCCAACAATGTCTTATGTTCATTAATAAAATGTCGATATAGAAGCTTGATTACTATTTAAATGAAACTTTTCCCTTTATATTACAGAATTAAGAATTGATTGATCAATTCGATTATGGCATTAAGTTTAATCACAAAATTCTTTGATGATTGTTGTTTATTTAATACAATTTTTTTTTGAAGTCACTGAAGAGAAGTTAAAATCCTTAGTCGGATATATTTTAATATGATGACTTAATAGCTGGTTTCATTTTTGCCCTTTTGTTATTACATCAATATGAACTACTGGTGATGAGATCGAATTACACTCTGTCTATCTCTGATTGTCTGTCTGTCTGTCTATCTATCTGCCTGTCTATCTATCTATTTACAA